AGCTACTCGGAGATTTCTACTCTACCCAGAATGAAAACAAATTCCTGTGTTGTGGTGTGTATGACCAGTGGTTCCAGGCATCTTTTAAATAGAAATACCACCATTTCCACCATGACGACATTGCTTCTTTCCTCCTGTCTGCCATAGTAACTTCTGCAGAGAACTCCACAGCAATCTTGGCCCCTAGCAGTATTTTAGTCCATGGTGATTTTTTGTAAGCTCTCGTGAGGTGATGGGAATCAGAATTCTCCCTGAGTTTCACATCAAGTCCAGAGTGTGTTTGCACCTTGGTCCCTAGTGTTCACCTGCCTTTGTATTCCTGCTGTGCTAAGAGTAATTCCATTAGATGTGGGAAATTCCATGAGAGGCAGGGAGCCCTCAGCACAGGTTGTAAGTCAGTGCTTAACAGACATCACAGCAAGATGAGAAAAAGGTCCCAACTATTGAGGAAGAGGGAGAACAAAATAAGGAATCATGACGCAGAAAACTCTGAACATTAATTTCATCCAAAAAAAGAAAATAGCCTTAATGCAAGGATCCAGGACAACTCCAAAGGGCTCATAATGGAAAATGCTGTCCATATCCAGAAGAAGGACAGTGGACTCGAATGTGGATTGAAGCATACTATTTGCTCTCTTTTTTTTCTTTTTTGTTTGTGTCTTCTTTCTCGTGGTTTCTCTCATTGGATCTAATTCTTCTTTACAATATGACTAATGTGAAAATAGGTTCAATAGGAATGTACGCATAGAGCCTGTATCAATTTGCACTTCGTCTTGGGGCGGGGGAGGGGAGTGATGGGGAGAAAATTTGGAACTTAACATCTTATGGAAGTGAATGTTGAAAACTAAAAATAAATAAATATTTTAAAAATAGCCTTTTGCCACTCACAGACAGGAAACACTGCCAACATGAATATATTCTTGGCAACAGGAAGGAGTGTTGGGGGGGGCGGTGCGGTAAGACACATTACAAAGAAGGAACTGAGGTTCCCTTTTGTGATTTTGAACCCCTTTTGGTGAATCTTGTCATGGCATACTCTCTCACTGGGACTCTTGTCAAACTGTGGACCCATTCCACTCTAGCTCTGGGTATGATGAGCTTTAGAGTGTCCAGAAGAAAGCAGCCAGGATGAGGAATGGAGCTCACCTCACACCTTAGGAGAATCCCTTGAAGGTGCTAGATGTTTGGTGTGGAGTGGAATAACACAGACATATCCTGTCTAATAGGAATAAGTAGCATCGTTGTCATGCTCTGCCTCGGGAAGGTTGAAGCTTGTGAGTGGAAAGTCCAGAAAGGCTGAGTGTAATCCAACATTTCCTAACCCATAGAGCTGTCCAGAGCGGGATGGGCATCCTTCTGGAATCCATCCAGCCCAGGATGAATGGCTCTCCTGGGTTAGGTTATTGAGGGGGGTTATTGATGACCACAAGGTCTCTCCTAACTTCAGGGTTAGCATAGGTTTCGTTGTATTCATTGTGTGTTGCCTGTGCTCATGATGGTGACAAATTTACAAAATCCACATGTTTCCCTGATTGGGGTCCATGTGTTCCCAAGGACCTAGAAGGTAGATTTCCACCAATGCCTTGGATGGATTCCTCTCCCAATTAGCATTAAAACAAGATGCTACTTCTCTCTCCCTCCCTCTCTCTCTCTCTCTCTCTCTCTCTCTCTCTCTCTTTTTTTGGTTAGGCAATGGGGTTAAGTGACTTGCCCAGGGTCACACAGCTAGTAAGTCGCCATCTAGCTGCCCCAAGATGCTCCTTCTCTAAGAATAATAACACACATTTTCAGTGCTCTACTTTTTACCAAGTGTTTCTCCCCACATATGAAATAGGCATCGTTTTGGGAATAAGTTGTCCACTCGAAGTACACTGACTAATAACAGTAGCAGTGCTAGTCTCTGTTGCCCCTGAACAGGAATGGCAGCCTGATGCCGATGACAACTGAGCAATGTGGGCATTGAGAAACTTGATGCCCATCAAAACAAAAGAGGCACCGTGGGCCTTAGAGTGCTGACAAGAATGCTGGCTGGTTCTCTAGTCAATGAAACTCACCAAACAGCTTTCTTTTTCATTATTCCCTAATAGCTCCTACTCTTTCCTCAAGAAAAAGAATTCTCTTTTCAAGTTTCCCCCCGCTGGTTTTGTGAATAATGTACTGCATGCCAACTAAAACTTGTGGCTGTTTCCAGCAGAGTTTCTCCCATCAGGGAGTCAGTTGCAATTCACCTTTCATCCCTAGTGTCCAGTAAATCATCTTTGCTATTTGAATACTTGACTAACCAATTCCCATGGGTCTCTTAACTAATTTTTTTTTTCCTAATCACTTCTAAGCTAAGAGCTAATGTGCTTATTTTAAGCATAAGAATCTTATCTCTGAAGAAGAAAGATATTTCCTTAATCTTAGTTCTTGAAAGATGCCTTCTCACTGACTCATTTTCTCCACCTGCTCAGCTGGCACAGTGGTTATAGATGATATCCTTTAAAATAGATTTTGTGGCCAAACTGTGGCAGTGTGTTTAGAGACATCTGTGTTGACATACCTGTGGCCCTCTGTGAGTTTTAAATAAACGAGTATTGGTGGTGTGGCTGCCCAAGTGTGAATGTGTGATTGACAAGGCCATATTGCAACAAATGACCCCTTCCATATCTATATATGTGAAATCAGCCTGCTCCTCAGCCCATTCGTGTGATGACATAGCCCTTTTAGGTTTTCCTGCTATTTATTGTTCTGTCCTTTCATCTGGCACCTTTGCTGAAAGAGTGCCACTCTGTTTCCTGTTACTCTACTTCAGTTTGGTATTTTAGCCAATCCCATTTCCCAGTGTGGCACAAAACTGTTATTTCTCTCCCATATTATTGCTTACCTTATATCTTACAGAGTACTTTCACATCAGTTATCCTTTTGGAGCCTCACAACAACCCTTTGATGGAAGATTGTGTTTTTATAGAAGAGGAAACTGAGGCTCAGGGGAGTTACTTGACTTGGATGGTCATACAACTCGTAAATGGTTGAACCTGTTCAAGGTCCTAGTAGTATGTTTTTTGTTTGTTTTTAGGCAGTTGTGGTTAAGTGACTTGCCCAGGGTCACACAGCTAGTAAGTGTCAAGTGTTTGGTCTGAGGCCAGATTTGGACTCAGGTCCTCCTGACTTCAGGGTTGGTGCTCTATCCACTGCGCCACCTAGCTTCCCCAAGGACCTAGCAGTATTTCTGGTGTGTTTTCTAATGTTCTTCCTTCAGTGTACTCTATGGCCTCTTCTAAATACAAACTCTGCTTTCATTCTCTTTATTTTTATTCCTGGCACCTAGCCCGATACCTGACCCATTCTGGGTGCTTAATAAATACTTGCTTGATTGATTAGAAGGTGCACATCACTGTGTCCTTGCAGCAGATCTTTGGTCCTTCCCAATTATCTTCATAATGTACTAAAAACTAACTTTAGAAACAATCTAGGCCGTCCCACCCAACCCCCACTTTGTAGAGACTGATAACCTGAAGAGGGAGTGACTTGCCTAAGGTCACACAGCCAGCCACTGCTGAGCATTCCTATGGCCTTTCATGCTTTTGAGTGTTTATCCCAAGCAGCAAGGTTTTGTTTTGTTTTAATGCTCCAGACTGTGTCCTAAGCCCCCCATTTTGGTTTTCCTGTAAACTCTCTTGCCATTTCGGGTTAGTTTTGATGTGTAGGTGCTTCCAGCAAGCGTGGTTTAGAAGTCAAGTGCAACAGCTTTAGTTGGTCTAAGTTTTTGGGCTCCACAGAGAGCTAACCGGTGGTAGTAACTTCCTTGGGATGGTTGAAGGCAGCTGGTAAGAGTCTTCCCATTTTTAACTCTAATAGTACACAAACAGTGTAGCATAGTTGATGATGAGCTCCAGCTAGGTTCAAGCCCAGGCTCTGACCCACCCTGGCTATGAGACTGTGGGCAAGTCCCACTATGCCAGTGAAATCCCTGGTCCCGGTCCTGTCTGGATTCCTATCCTAGTCTTTTATCACCACACATGAATAATCAAGTATATTCTGTGTAGAATGGCATGTGAAAGGTATAATGCCATTCTTGGCTTGTGCATTTGGCCACGTCATATTAGAATCATGGGATTTTGTCATCATTCAAGAGTAGTAATAGTCAATTTTGTTCATCAGCTATTTCACTTGCCTTTCTGATGATTTAAACAATTATAAAAATTCCTCTACATATGGATGCTTTCTTATAATTGTAGAAAACAGTTATTTAGCAGTTGTACTTTAGAGTTGGAACTGAAGACTTTGTCTGTACTCCATGGCATCCCTAGTTTAGTACCTTGGGGTTGGAACTGTAAACCTTGTGTAAATGTCTCTAGCCTAAGTGACTCTCTGTTGTGGGCCCTTCATTGTGTCTTCCCTTATTAATGAGACCATGATTCTGCAGAACTGCTTCTATCCCCACAAGGCAATTTTTTTTTTACTAGAAAAAATGATCAGACATAAAGTGTTATTCAGAGTGGATGCAGGCTGGTATTCTCATAAATATCCCACAGGTGGCTAGGTGTGTTTCAGTAAGCTCCAGTGACCTCTTAGCCTTTGGTCTCAGAACTCAGTTCACACCTTGATGAGTTTTCCTGTGTATGGAAAGACTTTTCTTACCTATTCTTCTGCCATTTCTACCTAAGGACTTTTTGGTTGGTCATCAAGATGTGAAATTTGAAAGCTCTGGTTGGTTCATATTGATTTAAAATTTAGGGATATTGACATCAGAAAACAAAGCAGCAGGGCATCATTGATGAGAAAGGAGTGTCCATTGTTTCTGGGATAAAATGCAATGAAATTCTTGCGGCCAAATTCAGAAATGCCTCCAACTGTGATTATGATGATGCTTTTGGCAAGATCCTTACCTTGTGCTGAGTCAGGCCCTGGGAATGGTTTATGACCTTTATGACAACAGAAAGAAGTCCTTGGAAAGTGTGTCTTGGTGGCTCTCGAAGTAACCATGTTGCTTTGTACATTTCCCCGTCTGAATACAGCTAAAAGTGCCCATGGCCGACAAGCCTGGGAACACAGTGAACTTCCGAAAGCTGCTGCTGAACCGCTGCCAGAAAGAGTTTGAAAAAGACAAAGCAGATGACGATGTCTTTGAAAAGAAGCAGAAGGAGCTGGAGGCGGCCACTGCGGTGAGTATTGTCACCAGTGAGAACAGCCCCTACCGTCGACAGGCTCGTGGCAGTGATGCCCTGTGGGTCGGGGCTGCACGTGGGGAGTGGACACAACACGGTGTCATAAAGGGGTGTTTTCTAGTTTTTTATAAAGAAGAGGTTTAGCAGGGACATAATTGTCCTATTCAACTCTCTGAAGACCTCTCATAGAGAAAAGGGATTAGACTTATTTTGTTGAGTTCCAAGGGCAGGACGAGGTCCAGGAAATTTTCAGGGGGGTAGATTTTATATCCATTGCAAATGTCCAAAGGTGATTTGGGCTCCCTGGCATGCAGTGTTTGCTTCCTCATTACTTTTAAGGGCAGATGTTCATCGAGCATGGAGTAAGAGAATGAACTATATATGATCTGTTGAGTTCCTTCTAGCTTTCCAGATGAGTGACCCGTCCACCAAATGCCTAGTTTGCTCATTTCGGGAGTGAGCACAGAAGGTTTGCAGTACAAAGGCTCTTAGCCCCCAGGGTTAGGTTCTGATCATTCACTGTGGCTTCCCTTGTCATGAGCTCTGTCCTCCCGTCCTACTCTAGCCCGAGGAGAAGACGAGACTTCATGATGAACTAGAGGAAGCCAAGGACAAAGCCCGGCGAAGGTCCATTGGCAACATCAAATTCATTGGAGAGCTTTTTAAACTCAAAATGCTAACGGAGGCCATCATGCACGACTGTGTAGTGAAACTGCTAAAGAACCACGATGAAGAGTCCCTTGAGTGCCTCTGCCGCCTGCTCACCACGATCGGCAAAGACCTAGACTTTGAGAAAGCAAAGGTAAAGGAAGAACTGGCACCTAACAGTAGAACATGGGATTTCTTTCCTCAAGGAGTCCTTCCACAGTGTGCTTGATAATTTATGCCCATTTTTCTTTTTTTTTTTAATTCAATTTTATTTCTTCTTAATTAAAAAGCATTTATTTTCTTTTCTTTCCCACCTATGCTCAACCCTGAACAAAAGGAAAAAAGGAAAACAAAACTCTCATGACAAATATGTATTGCCAAGCAAAACAGATGTGCATATTGGCCACATCAAAAAATGTGTGTCTTGTTCTGTGTCTTGAATTAACCCTCCCCTCCCCACCGTATCCAGAGATGGGCAGTGAGCTTAACTATGGGTCCTCTGGAGTCCTGGTTGTCATTGTATCAATCACAACTCTTAAAAACTTTAAAGTGTTGTTCATGTTTACACTGTTGTTTTTACTGCTCCAATTATTCTCTCAGTTCTTAGAAAGCAATTTGGACCTACCACCAAAAGGTCACTAAAGTAGGCAGACTCTTTGACACAGAAAAATTTCTATGAGGCCTATGCCCCAAAGAGATCAAAGAAAGAGAAGAAGGACCCTTAGGTACAAAGGTGGCATCTCCCAGGGTGGCAAAGAACTGGAAATTGAGGAAGTACCCATCAGTCAGGGCCTGGTCTGAATGTAATGGAATGCTGTGCTGTAAGAAATGGCAGAAGTGAGGGTTCCATTTTTCTTTTCAATGGACCATAGAACCCTTCTTGTCATAAGCATGAGTACCTGAGAGCATCACCTCATGCTTGAGAGGACCCATGAAGGGCAATGTGGTGGTTGTTGAGTCTCAGAGGGATGTCTTTGGAGGCACTTGTGCAAGGCCTTTTGCCAGAGTGTCTTTGGGAGACTAGGGGGATCAGTGGAACCTAAATTTGTGTGACTGTTCCATGGCCTTCAGTTTATAAGATCTGGAGAATGTCATTTCTCAATATTGATCCTGTTGCATGCAGGAGAGAGTGTAGCACAGATGGGAAAAGTACTGCCACTGGTGTCAAAGGACCTGGATTCAAATCCCATATGTGTGACCTTGGGCACGTCCCTTCATTTCTCAGGGTCTCAGTTTCCTCACCTGTCAAAAGAGGGATTGGACCAGATGACATCTGAGCTTCTCTCCAGCACTAGAGCCACCTCCAGACCTATTGGCTAGGGTTTCCCAGTTTGGAGATGCCCATGCAGCCAGCAGTGGTCCACGTGGTATTCTCCTCTGTGGCACACTCTGCGGATGTTGGAGCATCAGGGTTGGGATAGGATTTACACAGTGTCTCTGCAGATACTGATGATTCTGTTTCTGACAGCCTCGCATGGACCAGTATTTTAATCAGATGGAGAAAATCGTCAAAGAGAGAAAAACGTCATCAAGAATCCGCTTCATGCTTCAAGATGTAATCGACCTGAGGCTGGTGAGTGGGGAAGCAAACCCTTTGCTCTGACTGCTTTTCAGGGCACGTTCTCATAGATGTAGTAATTGCTCAGAAACAACATACATGTTATTTTTAAATTATATTGATTCTTTTACCTAAAAAATAAAAATATCCTGAAAATTATGGGATAAGCAAGACCATATTTGAAATTAGAGTTTCCCTGTTCCTTTTCCTTTTGTCAGCTTCAGTGATTTCCCCCACTAGCACCACTTACCTCTAAAAATCTCCTCCTCCTTTCTTATCTTCCTTTCCTCACATTTTCCCTGAATATGTAGAATTATTTCTTCCAATAAAATATTTTCTTTGTTTCTAGCCCTAGAGTTGGTCCTTTCAACTCAGTCCATTAGACACAGTATCTGCTGTGTGCATGGTACTTTATGGGACATGGCAAACTTTTCAAAATCAGATTTGGCCTCAGAGATATAAGTACTCCTCACTTTGTTCCTTTGCAAAAGGCAGTAAAGAGGTACATGGATGTCGACTATTGAAGATAATATCATGTTTTTTAGATGTGTTGTTAGATTTTGATGAAGTTTTTTCCTCTTTTTTTTATGAGATAGCTCTCTGGATTAGGAAAAGAGAGGGATTGGGGGAGGGAAATGGAGGCGAGAGGAAAACAAAAGAATCAATAAAAATCCACTAAAAGAAAAGCACAGTGTGAGCTCTTTGAGGGCAGAAACTGTTTTTGCCTTTCTTTGTATCCATAGTACTTAGCACTTAGCATAGTGTGTGGTCCTAGTAGGTGCTTAAAAATGCTTTGTTGATTGACTGAGACCCAAGTACATGCATGAAGGGGAACAGGTTGAAAAAATTCTTTGTCCAGGCCACCAACACCCTCATCGTGTGATATGTCCTTGACATCTGCTGTATTCTTGCCTTATTTAGAGGTTTCTGGATTCTAAGAATTGAAAGAATCCTAAAACTTCCATTTTCCCAGTATCTGGAAGCCACTTCCTAAAGGACTCACTGTGTTGAACTTATTTACCAGCTGCCCATCCATGTCTCCTAAGTATCTCCTGACTGATCTGCCCACCCCACACACCTGCCTTGTCCAAGGCCGACTCTTTCAGGGCTCTTTCATTCTTGTTCCACACTGCTGTTTGAAGATCTTCTTTCATCCTCTCTCTCCTTATCTCAAGCAGTCCAGCTATCCCAAGAAATACACCAAAACACTCTCTTTCACCCCAGGTTAATCTGGTGAATCCCAGAGTGGTTAAAGTTCTCAAAAACCAGTCTCACCCACAGCCTGAAAAAGAGCCCCTCCTTCATGCTTCTATTGATTTCATTTCCCCCGTAAGTATTCTCTTCTCCAAGATAAACACACCCAAATCCTTAGCTTGAGTACTTCTATAGTGTAACTTTGAATCATTTCACCATCTTGATGGCCCTCTCTGGAAGCACTCCAGCTTATCACCGTCCCTATTAACCAACATGAAAAGTCTTCCCTCTGACACCAGAAGTAAAGAGTGGAGCTAGGAAAAGAGAAGGAGGGAGATAGCTCTTAAAACTGTAAAATTTTGTTTAGAGTCCACATCCAGAGAAGGAACTGTGGAGTTTGAATGCAGATGGAAGCGTGTGATTTTCTTTCCTTTCCTTTTCTTTTCTTTTATTGTTTTATTTTGTTTCTTCTTTCTTGTGGTTCTTCCCATTAGCTCTAATTCTTCTATACATCACGACTAATGTAAAAATATGCTTAATATGAATGTGTAGTTAGAGGCTGTATCAGATTGCATGCCATCTTGGGGAGGGGGGAGGAGAGAAAGGGGGAGAAAATTTAAAACTCAAAATCTTACAGTGGAAGTGAATGTTGAAAACTAAAAACAAATTAATTAATAAAAAAATTTTGTTTAGAGTAATTGGTAAGCATCCTGAAATTCCCCTGAGAGAAAAAAACAACCAACCAGGTCCACAGAAAGAATTTAGATTTCTGTGTTTAAACTCTATTAGCTTTTTAAGCACTACTACTTGTGAGTGCAGAATTGAAATCAGAAGACATAAAGAAGTTGCTGGTATAACTTTTTCATAGTTAAAAGAATAAAATATCAATTTTATCAATAAACAGAAGTTGGACATACATGGGAGAATGTTGTACCCTTAAATAGGTGAATAAAGATGTTAGGGGAGTTTGTTTTGTCATGTACCTCAAGGCATCTAAAGGAACAGTTCATGGGATGCTTGTTCATCTCCCATTATAGACCTACCATGAAGATAAATGCAACTAATGTGCCATCCTACATAGAGGAAGAATTTAGAGGAAAATTTTTTTGAAGAATTTAGGATCCTCCAAACCAAATAAACATACCTTGAGACTCAGCAGATGATGAAAATATTAATGTAAGCATGGGAGACAGCAGAGAAAATTATTTTGGAACATTTGGTTCAAGATCAATAAATGGAAGAGGCCAACACTAATGGACTATTTAGAAGACAGACACATTCATCATGAATGTTTTGTTCAACAAGAGAATCATAAAACATTGGATGAGGCAAACACTGAATGACATAAAAAATTAACTTGGCTATCTTTAACAGACATTTAATAGCTTGCCTTGGGCATAGAATTCATTTTAGCATCATCTCTTCATCACTCCTTAATTAGGCAGAGCAGCTATAAAAGTAAATACCAAATAAGAAGAAAGGATAAAAATGTGATGAATTACGCTTCATTACTATAGACATCCACCCTCACTGGGTTTAAAAGGCTGAAAAAAAAATGATGAATGGACAAAACTTGACTCTTAACAATGTTTCTTTAAGAAATTTAACCAACTAGAGTTGTGAGCTGATTCAACAGTTTTGGAGAACAATTTGGAACTGTGCCCAAAGGGCTATAGAAATGTGCATACCCTTTGACCCAGCAATAGCACTTCTGGGGCTATATCCCAAAGAGATCATACAAATGGGAAAAGGACCCACATGTACAAAAATATTTATAGCAGCTTTTTTTGTAGTGGCAAAGAATTGGAAATCAAAGGGATGCCCATCGATTGGGGAATGGCTGAACAAGTTGTGGTATATGAATGTAATGAACTACTGTTGTGCTATAAGAAATGATGAGCAAGCAGACTTCAGAAAAACCTGGAAAGACTTGTATGGACTCAAAGTCTTATAGTGGAAGTGAATGTTGAAAACTAAAAACAAATTAATTAATAAAAAAATTTTGTTTAGAGTAATTGGTAAGCATCCTGATGCTGAGTGAAATGAGCAGAACCAGGAGAATATCGTACACAGTAACAGCAACATTGTGCAGTGATCAATTTTGATAGACTTAGCTCTACTTAGCAATACAATGATCCAAGACAATTCCAAAAGATTCACGATGGAAAATTCTGTCCACATCCAGAAAAAGAACTATGGCGTCTGAGTGCAGATCAAAGCATACTATTTTCTCTTTTTTTGTTATTTTTTCTTTCTCTTGGTTTTTCCCTTTTGTTCTGATTCTTCTTTCATAACATGACTAATGTGGAAATAGGTTTAACATAAGTGTATATATATAACTTCTATGTGATTGCTTACTGTCTTAGGGAGTGGGTTGGGTAGGGAAGGGAGGGGGAAAAGTTTGGAACTCAAAATTTTACAAAAACAATGTTGAAAACTATCTTTGCATGTAATTGGAGAAAAAGTACTATTAAGGGGAAAAAAAAGAAATTTAACCAATGAAGAACAGTAGCTAAAACAGGAAAGCTTAAAGAAATTAAGAACTGCCTTGTTGATCAAATGTTTAATTTCCTTAACAAGTGGAGTTGTGTGGAAGCCCAGCACACTCTCAGCATCAAGTACAAGTTCATTGGTCATCTGTGGGGGAACATCTTAAAACTTGGGAGAAGACTTGCCCCAGTTTCTTCTGAGATCAATTGAGAAGAAAATGACCCTCTCCTTAAGGTCCAAATGAATGAATGAATGGCTGATAGTATTCATTTCTAAAATTCAAAGGAAAACAACAAGGAGAATCAAAATGAAACAGATCTGTTTTTATTTTTAATCATGATCTATTCTCATCAACAATGATAGTGAAATGGCCACATTTGTATTTGAGAAAGACTCAAGTTCAAATCCCATCTCTGATGCTTACCATGTGACTTTGGCAGTGTGACCTGGGGCAAATCTCGTAACCTCCAGGGGCCTCATGTTTCCTTATCTGTAAAGTGAGGGAGTCAAATTTAGATGGCTTTTTCAATTCCTTTCCAACTCCATGATTCTAGAAATTGAAGCTGTAAAAAGCAGCTGGATATGACCAAATAATTGCTAGCATTTACATGGCCCTTTAAAGCTTATAAAATGTTTTATGTTATCTAATTTGCATACAAATGAGATCAGTGCTGGAGGTGACGATATGCTGGACCTACAGTTGAGTGGGGATCTGGAGATTGAGCAGGATTTTATATGGGAAATTGCCCATTGAAGGCTCCCTAAAGTCCATCTCTTTAACAGCACTGTTCTCAGAACTCTCTATGGCTACTCATGATTCGTGATAAACCGTAATCTCGTAGCAATCCAAATTACAAAGAACCCACAGGACGCAGTTTAGTATGTAACGAATGATGGGTAACTCATATGTAAGAAGTAGTGTAAAAGGGACATAATTAATCAGCAAAGGTTTTAGGCCTGGCTTGTACTAAGTTTAAGACCGTAACAGATGGATAGCTCAAGTGGCTTATTGATTGCCCCAAGATGTTAAAAGAACCAGAGAAAGGCTTCTGATATGTTGGCTGGATTTACAAAAAGACATGGACAAGAATCACAGAGAATGAAAAGGCTATAGAGGGCTATGATCTGCATTGGCAAAAAAGTCTGAGATCCACCTTGCTTCACCTTCTCACATTTTGTTGCAGGTCTCTCCTGGCTCACCCTCAATCTTCTCATTTTGTAGAGAAGAGGCCCCTGAGGGTTAGGGTTGTTCATGGCTACCCAGAGCAATGGCGGAGCCAGAACCAGAACTAGAGCCAAGTCCCTGGTCTCCTAGTGCAGATATTTTTAAGCCTTATCTCTACCTCTTTACTCCTTTCATAGTGCAATTGGGTGTCCCGAAGAGCAGATCAAGGCCCCAAAACTATTGAACAGATTCACAAAGAGGCCAAAATTGAAGAGCAAGAAGAACAAAGAAAGGTCCAGCAGCTCATGACCAAAGAGAAGAGAAGACCAGGTAATTTTTAATGGAAGGAGAGAACCCAGTGTTAGAGGAATTCTGTCTGGGAGGGAGAGAGATTTGTAATGGTTTTTTGTTTGGAACAGGAATTGGGTGCAAAGGCCATAAGGGGATTGGTTTTGGAGTATGAATTGAGTAGATAAATATCATCTAATCATCTAGAATATTTAAGAAGGAAACACACATACCAAGTATGGAGTGTATGAACAACTTGGTGGTGAGAACCACAGGCTTAGAGTTCAGTAACTGACTTTCAGCCCCAGCCCTGCTACTCATTGGTGGTCTTTAATTTCTTCTTTAAAATAAGGCTTGACTACTCCTTGCAGGACCTTCCTCGAAGCCAGCAGATGTTCATTTTGGGGACATTTGGCATTAGTCTATATCATGTCTGTAGATGGCCTCCATCTAAGGCAGGGGGGCCATTGCACATAGGCTTCCCTGCACTTGTATCTTGAATGTTAAAACCTTCAGAGGCTTGTTGTAAGGCTCAGCTCCATCATGTTTATAAAGTGCTTTGTAGCGGTCGTTGCTGTGTTTTCATTACACAGAGTTTCCAAGTCAGCCAGTTAGTTGACTGACCTTTGTAAAGCATCCGTTGTGTGCTCAGCACAGTGCTCTGATGGGGGTTGTGACTCACTATGCCTGTTTTTGTAGGTGTTCAAAGAGTGGATGAAGGTGGGTGGAACACTGTGCAGGGGGCCAAGAACAGCCGTGTGCTGGACCCCTCCAAATTCCTCAAAATCACCAAGGTAAGCCTCATCTCTTAAAAGTGCTTTAGAATCATTCTGAATGCTTTATAGGAACTTGTTTTATAGGAACCTTATTTACATAGCATCGTTAGAGAGATAGCCTCAAAGCCAGAAAGACGTGGATTCTCAAGCCCCACCTCTGTCATCTGCCAGCTGTGTGACCCCAGATGAGTCACTACACCTCTCAGTGGCCTGACGTTAAAAACAACATTGGACCCGAGTCTTGGCCCTGCTACTCACTAGCAATGTAGCTTTAAGCCTCTCTGATCCTCAGTTTCGTCATCTGTAACAGGGGAACAATACCTTACACTACTTACCTTAAAAGGGTTGTTGTGAAGAAAATGCGTTATGAGCTGTCATGATCCCCAGGGTTCTTTGCTTAGCTGACTGTTGTTATTTAATGTTATCATTTAACCAATGCCATGGATAAAGACATGTCTGAGTAGAAACCTTCATCAGATGTGGTAGTAAACAAGTGTCATGGTCTGAACGGCAAACCCTCCCAACAGGAATAAGGTTCTTGGGGCTTGGCCAAGACACTCTCCTGATAAGAGACAGTCATCATGGAGCTCCCACTCAGAACTGTGCTTGCACGGTCGGGGGGCCTGACTTTGGGCTCCTTTGGCATTGGCCTTTAAGAAATCCAGGCCACTTCTGTGGCATCCTCAGGTATTAGAAGAAGACTTTAGTGGGCATTGAAAGCGTTTAAAACTAACAATGTAGGCAAAAGTAATCCCTGGATAGAGACAGTGGAGCAAAGGAGCACCTTCTTCCTTGAACAGTGCTCAAGGATTTGTGAGTCCATATGTTAAAATATTTTTCCTTTAATGGAATTTACACTATTGAGATCAGAAAAGTATTATTAGTGACATCTGTAGATGGAGAATGAAGCACGGAGTCATGGAGTCAGGGGGCCTAGGGGCTGATGCTTGGCAGCTGCGGGCCCATAGGCCTGGTCACCTTCTTTCTCTGGGCCTCCGTCTTCTCTCTGTGAAACTCAGGGTCATGGGGAAGATGGCTTTGTATTTCCTAAAGCCTCATGTGGAGGTAGGATGGACCAGTGGAAGCATAGGTGTTCCTGGAGGGCAGGCAGGTGCCCAGATAGGCATCCTGCTTTGGATGGATAGAAAGAGGTGTGGCTGAGGAGGCCACCGAGTTCACACTTTGCCCCTGACTCCTTGTAGGACCTTAGGAAGTCACTTCCCCTCTGTGAGCCTTAGTTTCCTCATCTGTAAATGATGGGCTTGGACCATGTAACCTGTGATGATGCCATGATAAAAATGTGAGTGATGATCATTATCATGGTTACTGGTTGTGTTATGTAAAATGGGGTGCTGAAATGTGTTCAGACCTCTAGACCTCTCTTCACCCAAAGACTGGTTATAGGGTGAAAGTGGGGAGACTCTTGGTCTGCCATAGCCAGAATTCTAACCCTTCTCCTTCCCTGTGTCCTCATTCATTGCATGCTCACTTTCCCCTCACGCAGAATGCTGCTTAACTGTGTCTTTACCTGGTGTTTGGGTGACTTGTGTTTTTGTTTTCTCTATTTTCATGTGTCTTACAACCCTATGTAGTAGTAGCTAATAAGTGTTCATTTTGGGGAGAATTTGGTGTTGGTCTTCAATGTAGTGAGTGCATAGGGCCTCCATTTAAGGCTGGGCGGGGTGGGGGGGGGGGGCATTGTAAATAAGTTCCCCTGCAACTTGATCTCAAGCGTTAGAACCTTGACCACAGGCTTGGCTTCTTTTGGTTGCTGCCCATGTTCAACTAAGCTCCCTTGTGTTCCAGCCTACAATAGATGAGAAGATTCAACTTGTGCCTAAAGCCCAGTTGGGCAGCTGGGGGAAAGGCAGCAGCGGGGGAGCAAAAGCAAGTGAGACGGGTAAGTGGCGGGAACTTGGGAAGGGTTCTCAGGCCCATTCTTGTTAGTCACCCCAAGAAGAAAGCAGTGATCCTCAGGACTCATGGACTAATCAAGAGCTCCACTTGGGCTATTGTCAGGCTTGGCAGGGGAGGTTGTCACCAAATTATGGGAATTGTCCCACTGCCTGCATTCCAGTTCAATCCCACAGTCTGTTGGAGGCCCCACTCCTTCCCTTCAGTCCTCACAAGTTACCTTGTCCCTTCTCTCATTCTGTGTTCCTTTGTAACCCTTCTTTAACCAGTACCACCATGCCCTCCCCACCCCTACTCCCATCAGTACCTGAGGAACAGAGTTCTAGTCAACATTCTCCACCCTCAATGCCTTAAGAGGTCAGACCCACTTTGGACAGCACTGTATTAACACTTCTCAAGTCCTTTTTGACTTTATTCTCACCATTTCCTAGAAAATCTGTCTCTTTCCTCTTTCTTCTCTCTCTCTCTCTCTCTCTCTCTCTCTCTCTCTCTCTGTGTGTCTCTCTCTCTCTCTCTCTGTGTCTCTCTCTCCCCCCCTCCCTCTCTACCTCTCCACACACACACCCACCCTCTACCTCTTTTCCACCTATCCATCCTTCAGAACTCCCAGCTCAAGGGCTTCTTCCCTTCCCTGATCCCTCCCTCTGAGATGGAATGATATTTCCAACTGTCACCCTCTCTCATACCTCCTATATTGTCATGGGAAGGCAGGAAAAGGGATGAAAAATAAACATTTATGTAGAGCTTTCTACATGTCAGGCACTGTGCTAAGCACTTTTTTACAAGCATTATCTTATTTGATTATACTTTTATTATTATACATACATATTCCACATCTTATAGTTATTGAATATTTATATTTGTGACATAATTTTCTTCCCCTTCAACAAGGTTCTAGACTCCACAAGGAAAAGTAGGAACCATTTGTTAACTCTCCTTGTACCTCCCTCAGCACCTGGCATATCATTCTTTCATAGTGATCTACTTAAGGAATGATTGTTTGGTGAAGAAACTTTCTTCTTAGAAGCCCTGGGGGAAGCAGGTGGTCCTCTGCAGTCATCTTTAAAGTGCTCGTTAATGCTTACAATGACTCTAGAGTTGTCACTTTCCCTCATGTATACATTCTTTCTAACCTCTCTCTTTTCTAAATCTTTCACCATTTCTAGACTCCTTACGATCAGGTGCCACTAGTTTGAACAGATTTTCTGCTCTGCAGCCTCCAGTATCATCTGTGTCTGCTTCATCTACCCCTCTGGAGTTTGACTCTCGCAGGGCCTTAACTAGGTAAGAGGAACTATCCTGCCTGTTCTGTTGACTAATGGGGCCCTGAGACCGAGGTTCTGAGTCTGTGATGTCAGGGAAAGGCAAGCCACTGCAACCGTGAACTGTCTTTAGCCCCTGTTTTGACATGGCCTTTGCCTTGTGCTTGGTATCATGGCTTCTTTCTTGACTCCTTAAGTCTTCCTGTCCTGTGAAGCCCAGGGTAGGGCCAGACACCCAGAGGTGCCCAGAAAGAAAGTGTCTCTTAGAGATTTTGCCAGCAAGGCAGAGTATGCAGGGAGGAGAGGAGCATCCTTGCTTTGTTAGGTCCCGTGGTGTCAAACTTAGGAGTTCAAGTTAGAGTAATTGTGCCCATCCCCTTCTCTGTCTTATTTAATACGGTTTCCATGTCAAATTTGCTTCCCTTCTGAGTTTCACAAGTCTCTCTTAGCTTCTCTTCTCCCCCCACCTCTGCTTCCCAGGTGTTCATGCAGTAATGCCTCCTGTGGTCAGCATTATGTGAAATTCAGGATACTGGCACTTTCTCCTTTATACACCAAAATGTGGTTATGTTTGACGGTTTGGAATTGTAATCTTCCTAAAATGCACTCTGTATGGCCCTGTCTTTTTCAAGAGAATATCCTAACCGTAATTCAAACTTCATAACTTGGGTTTGTCACTATGAGTATTAGCTGTGGTGTCCTGTCTGTCTCTCTGTCACACAGCAGGCCCCATTGGGGCTTGTGAGCTCTGTGGACTCCTCAGCCTAGCGTGCTGTCGCTGCCAAGGCCTTGTGGCTGCTTTCCATACCTTTCTAACTAGTCCCCCTTAGCTGCCTGTTGGGTGTTAATTCTCACTGCTGTTGGTCTGCCCATCTGAAGCACAGGCTTCTTTGCTGCTCTCTTTTGACGTGCTGTGGACTGGGAAACTAGATTATAAAATCAAGAATCTGTCTTGTTCAGAAAAGAGTATGTTGCTTGTGTGAGGGCCTCTGGAAGTCTTCTCTGAGTAAAGTGGGTAGTAGAATGGCGCTATCTAATTTGGTTGCTCAGAAGCACATTTCTGCTTACTCTCTAATTCCTAGCTATATTTCTCCTAAGTGAGTTCTTTAATAAGGGCACCTGGCTTTAATTCTCTGACTAGTTAGCTTCTAACCAGCCCTTAGATCTCTTCCATCCTACAGCTTCTCATTTTTTTATAGGCATTTAAACCTTTTAAAAATTGAGACAAGTCAACAAATTATTTTTTGTCATGATGAACATCTCTATCACCTAGGAAAACAGAATTATTTTATCTTAATAAGAGCTCCCTGTGGTACTTTCTTATAATGCTGTAAAGATTATTTTGCTTTTTCATGTATTTGGAAATCATTCAGGAAAAGTCTCGAATATGTGTCTGAGAATTATTATTTCATTTGTAGCATGGTTTTGGAGGATCAGCATTATTAAACAACTTGAAAGCTAGATGATTATTTGCTCTTGTAAAGTTTGACATAGCCTTCCTTTTGAAGAAGTGTTGTTTTGTGTTGAAGTCGAGGAAGTATGGGCAGGGAGAAGAATGACAAGCCCCTTCCCTCTTCAACGCCTCGTCCAAACACCTTCCTTCGTGGTAGCAGCAGCAAAGATCTGTTAGACAATCAGTCCCAAGAAGAACAGCGACGAGAGATGCTTGAGACTGTGAAACAGCTAACAGGGGGCACGGACGTGGACAGGAGCAGTACAGAGGTGGACCGCAGCAAGACGAGGGAAACAGGTGAGCCATTGGGCTTTCTCTGAGTGGCAGAGATAGGGATCTGCGTCCCAGAATCCATGACCGTCGCTGCAGGGCGTGGGGGAAGAGACAGAGGTGACTCCATATGCCAGAGGTGTAGAGACATACACCCCAGGCTGGGCCGCAGTGCTGGGGAAGTTAAACTACCATTTTCACAAACATGTAATTGGCTTGTTCTGACTGTCCGCTATTTGACTCGTGATTCCCCCTCTTCTTCCCAAATGTTTCAGTGAGCCATAAGGCTACTTCACCTTCCAGGGAAGCAGCCCAGAAATCTCCCTGTGCTATTGCCCTCAGCTCACCCTGTTGTACATGGGTGCTGCAGCCCATCTGCTCGGTATAGGTGTGCCCTATTTGACGACACCGCACTATCCGGGCACCCCAAGGTCAGCTGAGAAGGGGGTGGCAGGCTTAACTTCCCGTTCTCTTTTGTCTGGCGTTATCGCTGGCCTTGTTGGACGTGTGTCATGTAACGCATGTACATGCTTGGAGGGGCTGTTCCAGGGTACTGTGGGTACTTCTTTAGGGTGCTGTGGGTTGAAGTTAGTAGCAGGTCTCCCAGATGACAGACATCCATCACAAAGGCTGTGCAGGGCTTCTGCATGCTCTGCTCTGCTGAGGTTTTTTTACCTGCAAGTTCTAGAACAGTCAGTTCACTTGTAGCTCTGGTGGGAATGCACTGTTGTGGAGATTTAAAGGCAAGTGCATCGTCTCCCCACTGGCTCTTGGACTTCAGTGCTTCGACCGTAGGGCAGTGTTGGCCTTCTTAATGTAGCCCCAATTGCTCGGCATGGGGTCTGGAAGAAAAATACATTACATACAATTATGTAATGTCATGGTCCAGACTTTTAACATGTATGAGCTTCAGTGCCATTAAGAGGTAATTTTGGAAGAACCTGCAACCAAATTATTGAAGTTTTAAAAGTGCTTTGAAGAGCTTATGAATCTGTCGCATGACATGTTCTTTGGTCACACCACTACTTTACTAGTCTCAGGTCACATGGTGATATTAATTTGAAGTAAAAGTTGTAGAATCTGTCATATATGATAACTGTCAGAACTCATAGTGGCAGGGGGGGTTGTCATTAGTGTTTGCCACAGGAATTGGCAGTGCCATAGGTGGGAAGTGAAGATAGAGTAGCAATTGCTGACCAGTTATAGGAAAAGGCACTAGTCCTTGTTAAGTGCTGGATTCTCTGGGGTATGAGATCATGGAGAAGGGAGCAAAGAGTGGTAGATGCTGAAATGGTATTCTTTCCCCTTTGCATTGTTAACCGCTTGAATGGTTTAGGCTCCATGGACGTGGCTTCGTGTCCAGGGCTATTCAAGGGGCCCATCATCCTTAGCTACTTACAGACAGTTCCTCTGCCCTCATCATGATTGCTTCCCATATTGACAGTTTCTCCTGAAAGTTCATAAAAACCTTTTGATCTGTAGCCTGTATTTCTTAATCTGGAAGAAGGCTTCCAATCACCAAAGAATGTGATTTACCCTTTCCTTTGGTCTTTTGAAGACTAATCTTTTTTTACCCCCAATGTTGGGGCACTTTTTCTGTCTCTCTTTGCCTGTGTGATGGCCACTCTTGCATCTAAAGATTACTGTTGGAGTCTGCAACCTCTATATCCCCTTGTTTATTAACTATCAAGATCATTAGGGGCAGCTAGGTGGTGCAGTGGATAGAGCACCAGCCCTGAGGTCAGGAGGACCTGAGTTCAAATCCAACCTCAGACACTTGACACTTACTAGCTGTGTGACCCTGGGCAAGTCACTTAACCCCGTTGCCTAGCCCCCCCCCCCCAAAAAAAGTAATATAAAAAAAAAAGATCATTAACTAGTGAAAAACATATAATAAAAACAAGGCATTAAATAGCGAGAACTGTCATCTTATACCTTTTTTTGTTTTACATCCAGAATTTAAAGTATTTAATAAACATCAATGTTAATAAGGGGTTATGTACTCCCACTTGAGTGAAAGGTGCCCTTCTCAATTGTCTCTGTCTTTTTTTCCTTACCACCAGCTAAACCAGATGTTCCCACAACTCCAGTTCCTGAAAAGCCTTTGTTGTCAGAGGAGGAGATGGAGAGAAAGTCGAAATCTATTATTGATGAATTCCTCCACATTAATGATTTTAAGGTAAACAAAATCAGTCTGCAGGATGCTGTATGTGATAGGGAGTCATATTAAAATGAGGCTTGTGCTAGGAGATCTATAAGGTCCCTTGTAATCTTGTTCCGGATTTAGAAAGTAATCATTAAATATCTAACAGGGTCTGGGATCAAATCTCCATTTTACTGAGCTTTCTGTTTGCTAAATAAGTCAGATGTGGAGAGTGAATTAGGGTCACTTACTTGAAGGGATTTGATGGGCCAAACAAGAGAAGAGTAGCCTTAGTTATTAATAGAGCTATGTATAAGTGTATCCATGCATATGTTACTTTTCAATGAAGCTGCATGAGTTCACTTGCATTCCCTGGTAAGGAAAGAAGAAAGGCTAGCACGTGTAGTTAGTAAAATTCTAGAAAGCAATCATATCTTTACCCACGTCATAAGAAAGGTCCAAGAATCCACAGACCAGAGGCCATGAAATGAGTCATGGCATTCGTCATTTAACAGGCCCCACAAGAAGCCCGTTAGGATGTAGGATGCTTTCTGTGCTCTTGTCATTAATGTGAAGCCTTCATTTGTTTGGTCCTCTCTGCTTGATCCTGTCCCAATTGTTAAAGTAATTACACCACTCTCCATTATTTGAACAGGAAGCCATGCAGTGTGTAGAGGAACTAAATGCACAGAACCTCTTGCCTATTTTTGTGCGAGTGGGAGTGGAGTCCACCCTGGAAAGGAGTCAGATCACCAGGGATCACATGGGCCAGTTACTCCACCAGTTGGTGCAATCCGAAAAACTCAGCAAACAGGACTTCTTCAAAGGGTTGGTATCCTCCTCAAGGACAGCCACCAGTTGTCAGACTCTCGGGCGATGGTGAATTGTAAAATTATGTTTCCTGTCTGTGACTCTTCTCTCTTTTCAGCTTCTTCCATGGACAGAAATATCCAATGTCCACTGGGCTGTGCTTTGACAACAATTTGCTGATTGTACGGATTCTTTGAGGAGGTGTCTAGTGAGATGTGGAAAGGTTGAAAATGCAAATGACAAATTTAGCCAAATAGATTTTATTCGGAGGTGCTGATCTGATTACCTAATTGAATGCTTACTGCATTCTCATCTCCTTCTTGTAGGCATCGAGGCAACAAGCATTGATGAAATGCCCGCTGTGTGCCAAGCACTGTGCTAAGTGCCGGGGATACAGATACTTCCTATATGTGCTTAACCGTTTTGCTGCATTCTTACCTTAGATAGTTTGGGGCCGGGAAAGAGGGTGAGTTTAGCAGAGACACCCCAAAATGTGCAAACTCTAGACAGCTTATCAACTCAGTTCTTAAAAACTGCTGCATGAATATCTGAGAGCAGAAGCTCTCTATCACGGGCAACTATTGACTTGACATAAAAATGTTTTGTATCTTACTGCTTCAAAAAAATTCTCAGCTTTATGCCCATTGTAGTTCCATGGAAGTTTATAAGTCTTTGGTGTCTCATGCGTAGAATCCATTCCAGGTTTGCCTCATTGTGGTTCCTGACAGCATCTCGTCCAATGGAGTTCCAACTGTCACTGGTATTCGGCACTCAGTTTCTCTTGAATCCTGACATCCAAGTTTGCTGTTAGCTCTGGCATCACAGGTCTCCCAGCCAGTGCCTGCCATGGAAATATCCTCACATACAGTGGCATTCAGAGACTAACATTAAACATACAGGGACAATTATTCATAGGACTGTGTTGAAGAAGGCCTCAAGGTACTGGGAAACATCTCCCTGCTAGTATAATCAGAAGAGTTGGCTCCCAGCAATGACCTGGAGTCTGGTGAAGTTGACTTGTGCCTGTTGAATTTAACAAGGAAATTTGGCACAAATCTCTGTGGTGATCATCGATAAAAGCCATGATGATGGTACCATACGTGACCCAGTTCCAAGTCATTGAGATTATATGACTTATTTCCATGATCTACCCAAGGAAAAGACAACAGATGGGCAAATACACCATCTCAACGGACAAACTCAACTCAGATCTCATCCATTCTCTAGCAACACCAAAATTCAGGGGGCTCTGGCTGGCTCTATTTGCTTTGATCCCATGTTGACGTCCAGGAAATTGGATCAGCTGGGGCATTGGGTATTCCAATTCGTAATTCTCAACCTTTCACATTGCTACGTATCAGGATAACAAGGCACCTTACCAGTGAATGCTATGGAATCTGAAATGGGGGGGAAATGCTGGATTGCACAGTGCCTTACCATCCTCACTCTGTCTCCCCATCACTCCCAGAAGTTTGTCCACATCTGGCATGGGGCCAGGAGATCTATTCCAATCCAGAGCCATTCCAGGAGGTCTGGCCCGGCTGTGGGTCATTCTTGGCTGAGAGGACTCCTGAGAGGCTGGGTTGCTTCCTGGGACACATCAGAAATTCAGGTATGCTCTAGTGCAAACCCTAGACCAAAGCGGATCCCCCAGAAGGCCCATTCTAACAAGGGGGACCTTGTTAGACAACAGTTGGTTGTATGAGCCTGCTTAACTTTTCACTTGAACTAGCCCTAGGAGCTTCTCTAACCTGATAATGGATACGATCAAAAGTGTTTATAAACAAGGGCTGTTTCAGCCCTTGACTAGATCTTTTCTTGCGATACACTGGCATAGTTCCTAACCTAATGTACATGTGTCATCCACAACTTATTTTGGGGAAATGGTGGCTACACCTTTGTTGAGGATGAGATTTCACTCCAACTGAAAAGGAGACAGATGCATGCTTGTGCCCACAGACCACTCCTTCATCCGACTCTCCACCTGTTTAATCAGTGGTGGAGATTGGGCCTGAACCAGCCTAAGGCCTACATGCCTTAAACTGATCAGACAGAAAATTAGAAAGGACTGACAGTCTCAAAGAAACACATGGTGGTCAGGACATAGGAACAGACTACCATGGATACCCAGGGAATGCTTTGTGGCATATGAGCCAACTGTGGGCCTTCTTTTTTTCCCCTGGGGTCTCTAGTCCCCTCTAGAGAAGCCATTGGATTTCTTGCCACAGAAGTGCCTTGGACCAGGCACTGCCACCACTTTTAGTTTTTGTGACTCAGGTGACCAAAGACCATCCCTTCTGAATCTTTTCTGGGATGCTAGAAGAACCCTCTTTGGCTACCTTGCCATGGGGGCGACCCTGGTCAGCAGCCGTCTTCTCATATGAACCTTCTCAGGCTGGGTGTGATGGTGCTGGTCATCAGGAGAGGAGGGTTTCCAAGCTCTTTCCCAGGCTTTTGGAGGCCCAGCCTCCACTCTGTTACCTCCCCATAAAGCCTTTCAGCCTTGTATTTTGAAGTATGTGAAGCAAGCAGTATAAGTATTTCAACTCTACACAGTTCAGTTTTCTTTAGGTTGTGTCAGGTGTGAGTCTAATGTGCATTTTTGGTAAATCATTAGGCTCTCCTTGAGGGTCTGGCTCTATACAGTCATCTGAATAACTTATACATGGTGGGAATTACATGGAGAGAGAGAGTTAGACATTCAAATAATGCTGTTGACACAGCCATTTTTTATCAGGGTTCAAAACAATTCTTGTTTATGTATGCAGTAAAGGCTGTCACATATTTACAGTGGTTTCTGATGTAACCCAGGATCCTAAAACCACCTTTTTCAGTTGACAAGAAGTTGTCCCCAAAATGTGGTGTACATAGACTTCACCTCAGAAGATGGGGTCATTATTTCTGCTGTTTTGTCTTACTTGAACCCCTTTTTCAGTGGAACCCCTTTTGGTACCCATGATATTCTTGCCTTTTCTGGGAAAATAATTTTCATCAGCATTTTTATAGGGCACTTAAGCTTTGTGTTCCCTTATAGTGTTCAGTAGTGCTTAATGTGGCTCACCCAAAAAAGGATGTGGATTGAGAAGCAGGTGTGTTCGATGTTATCAATCACCATCTGTCCTCCGATTGACTTTCCTCCTCACATCTCTCATTAGATAGTCTTATGTTAATATTTTGAAGGGTTTGATTCCTTGAGCTTGCTTTCCACGGCCCCTCCCTGCCTTCTCATCCTATTGGAGTCTTGGTTTTTGTAAGCCCTTCACCGGGTTGTGCTTGGTCTGCCTGCTCTGCCGGAGGCTTCCCTCTGGGGCTGCCTTCTCTGGGCGTGTCCAGTGTGCCACTTGAGTTGTCCATCTCTTTAAATTAGTTGCCTCTTTTTCAGGTAGAATAAAGCTTTCCCTTTGGTAGTTCCATAGTACAACTCACTTCACATCTTTCCTTTAGTCTCCCCCCCTTCCTTAGTTCTCTACAGTGTGATATGATTCCATCTCCGCACAATGTCACAGGACAACACTCAGTGCCAACCTCAGCTCCTGAGGCAGCCTGGGCTAGAGGAAAGAGCACACTGCGTCCGAAGAGACCTGACTTTGGATCCTGGTTCTGCCAATTCCTAGTGGACCGTAGGAAGGTCACTTCCCCTCTCTGGGATTCTGTTTCCTCATCTGTAAAATGAAAACACTGGATTCGATGATCTCTAAAGTCCCAGCTCTAAGCCCTATGATACGGGCTCTTCCTTTCTAGTTGAATGGCACTCATTTCAATTCCGCACACCTTTCCTGAGAATCTGCAGTATGTCCAGTCCTGTTCTGAGCACCATGGGGGACACAAAGAAGAATTAGATGAGGTCCCTACCCTCGTGGAGGCTGCAGTTTGGTAACGTCAGTCGTGTTCTGGAATTAGACTGTGGTTTTATGCCACAGTTCAGTAGAGTGGATGTGGTCTTTGCTGCATACCTGGATACATGAAGAACATAGGGGCCAATACTCTGTAAATATTGAGGTCTTAAGAGTATTTGACACCCCCTAGGAGATGTTGGATCTTTTACCTGACTACCAAGCAAGTGTAACTTCCATCAGGTTACTGTTATCCAAGAGATGTCCTCTCCATCATTTTAGAGTGAATTAGTCCCTGTTATATGCCTGCTGCTTCCGAGATGCCGTACTGGCATAAGACACCATCCATCCCCTGCCCTTGTAGAGCTCATAGTCTATAGAGGATTGGGGGGGGGGGGGAGAAGTGGTGGAGGGAGGGGATACAACAATGAAAACATCTGTTATACACACACACACAGAGCGTAATAAGCGTGTAATGTATGTGAACCAAGGGTCACTTGAATGCTGAGAGGGGAAAAGGTCCAAGAGTTAGTGTCATGGCAGACCAGCGCTGGTGCTGGGCTTTGAAGGTAAGTTGGATTTCATCAAGTGGATGGGGACAGGGAGGACGTGCCCCAGATGAATGTGGTACATTTCAAAGGTGGGAACCTGTGTGTATCAGGGAGTGCTTCAAAGAGGACAGTTTGCTCCCGCAGCCCCATCCTGCATCCACGGATTAAGCACTTTCATTTGTAGCTGAACTCTCTGCATGAATAACTCATCTGTTTTTGTGACACTCCGTCTTACGTTCATGGAGCCCTTACGATAGTTCCATCATTGCCTGCTATTGACCAACAGTTCACAGATAGACTCCTGTCAGAAGTTGCGCGTTTGCCTCCCTTTAAAACAATGTGTCCTTTCAACTTGGGGTTATCCTGCTTCACTTTGCTGTGCAGTGACAGCTTGGTTATTCTGCCCTGATTTTTGCTGATGGCCATCCCATTGAAGTTCTTTGGTGGTAAGCAGTGTTTCGGTGCCAAATGCGATTGCCTGTTTTCTAGGACTTCACTGTTCATGATCTTGTCATGACATCGTAGAGTATTAGAGCTTATAGGGTACCTTAGAGATGAGTGAGCCCTGTTCATTTTACAGAGGAGGAAAATGTGGCCCTGCCAACCATGACTTACTCAAGGTCACCAAACAGGAGAACGGCAGGACTGTGGGTGAGCCTCCTGAAGCCAGGTCCAGCGCTATTGTCCCAGTGCCCTGCTGCTTCCATTCTTGTGCCTCCACAAGAAGTTCTGTTGAGTTAGTGGCATTATTTGCTGCTCAGGAGTCCCCAGGTAGCACATGGCACAGGTCCCAGTATCCCAGCAGCATCTCCAAGGAGCCATCGTGCCATCTAGACCTACCATTTGGGTTGAGGAAGGATGTCACCAAGGTGACAAATGCCCAAGGCACTCCTGCCTTCTAGACTCCACTTTCTACTTAGAATCCTAAGATCCGAGAGCTTACCAATGGGAATTAGAAATGAGCTTGTTCCCTCAGTCCACAGGAGAGGACACTGGCTTGTTGGTCAGGGAGTTTGGCACCACATGGGGGTATTCCCCAGGCAACAACCCTCAGGTTGTTACTTTGTAGCACCAAAACCTTCATTGCCTTAATAGAGTGTAACCTTCATGAGGTGCTGTAGCTAAAAAATGTACTCTGTGGCCAACCTGGTAACGATCCTCAATGATTTACCACGTGCTCTGACACCAGGCCATTATTCAGCACCTCTCTTACTTGGTCAGAGCTACCAAGGCTTGAGCCCTGTTGCTGATGAAGCCTCTTGAACTGCATTTACAGGCTGTCCTTCGGGGTGGCAGCCTCTTGCCTGGCACTACGCCTCTGCTTATGTGTTGTAGACCAGCCCTCAGCATGCTGGAGTTTCTTGAAATGCCCATGATTTATTTCTGTTGAGGCTTACAACTTACTGAGTTGATGGAAAAGTACAAGACATCAAAAAATGTATTATTTTCCCAGATTCTGGCTTCCCTGTTATATCCTTAAGCCACATGGAACATTTCAGTAGCTTATGTGGCGCTTAATGAGTGTCCATATGGAAAAGGTCGCCACATTTCACAAAACACTTGATATTTTAAGTCCTCTGTTTTGTGCTCGTTTACTGACATTTCCAGCTCTGGAAATACGGAAAATAGTCATGAGCTGGGAGGCAGGAAATCAGGGAGTGAGCTGCTTTCCTTCTTGGAGCCTCAATCCTCTGGATGATATTGTAAGGAAAACGCAGTAGGAACTTAAACTAGCATTATTTATTGACACCCATGAAGGCCAAAGGTAATGTCTTTAATTAATAGCTTTCTGTAGATAGTCTGATTTTTTTTGAAATTCTAATTAACGCTTCAAGCTTTTTGTACCTGTCTCATTCTCTCCATTAAATTGTTTTATCTTACTTTTATTGATAATGTTTATATTTATATCACCATCATTTCTAAGTTACCTCCCCAAGAAAGTTTTTTTTTTTTGAAGAGGGTAGAAAAAGACAATTGAGTTAAATTGATGAACACAAATCATATCTGGTAGACATGAAGTCTTCCACATGCACAATTCCCCACTTCTTCAAAGACTTGAAGGAGGTTCTTTTTCTCAATTCCTTCCTACTCCCCATGAAATTGTAGCTCCTTGGGGGGCAGGAATCCTGCCTTTTCTTTCCTTTATATCTCTTCCATGTACATAATAATGAATCTGACATCTGCTGGTCACCATCTCTTGAATTTGTTAATTTAGAGAGATTTGAGAGTTTCCTAAAGAGAAAATCTGACATTCGAACTAACTTTGGCACTTGAATGTCTTTTCTTTGTCTTTGACAGGTTTTCAGATACCTTGGAGTTGGCAGATGACATGGCCATTGATATCCCCCATATTTGGTTGTACCTTGCTGAGCTGGTGACCCCCATGTTAAAAGAAGGAGGAATCTCTATGAGAGAACTTATCACGTAAGTCACTCAGGTCTCTGGTGTGGTACATCTACTCAGCTGATTTGGAAGTGATCAACTTGCCCGCTTCAGGGCCTTTGTAAATCTTAAACATTATAGAAATGTCACCAGTCATTACTTTTATTCTTAGGGCATAGTGTAAGGTCACACAGTAAGTGGTAAAACAAGGTCCCTGAACTTAAGTCTTCTAACTTTAAATCCAGTGCACTTCCTAATGTATGACACTACCCCATATGAGGTGCCTCAAATGTCCTTCCTTCTTAAGATCTTTCAACTTTTAAAAAAAATTACTCTCTTTCTTACCATCCATGCCCCCGTCCTCCCTCCGAGTTCTCTGAGCTGCTGTATTGGGCACAGCCATGAACAGGAGAAAGATCAGAGAATTTGCCAGTGTGGTTCAAGTTGGTTGAGACTAGGAAAAGGCCCTACTGTCTTTCACCTGCTTCCGAAAAATGCCACAACACTTTCCATAATACCTTAGAGAGGTCAGTTTGATAACTTCATTACCCAGCTACTCAGGGTTTACTCCTTTTGCTTTGAAAGAAGAATTAGAGAATGCAGATAGATAACCAGAGAAAGCAGTGTTTGACCCAGCTTTTTGACCCTGGAGTTAAATGATGTTGGAGAAAGATGTAATATCGTACATCAAAGCAGTACACATTTATTAAGTGCCTTCTGTAGGCAGAGCTGAGCACCATGCTAGATACTGAGACATTTTTTTAGGTCCCTGCCCTCCAATTGTTTATCATCTTGTAAGGGGGACGATATGGTCACACACTGCTGCTATACAACATTACATGATAAAGGCAATGCAGGTTTACAACAGAAAGTGGTGTGTGAGATTTGCAGGAGGAGTTGGCATTTTAACTGAAAAATCTCCCTGTAAGCTTCTCCATCTAGGCAGTGTATGGTCCAAGGTAAAACCAAAAGTTCTTAGAATACATGGCCATAGATGCACATTGGTACTGTCTGCTCAGTTGTGCAGTCTTTATCAGCCCAGATGTGCGGTCTTTTCTCAGTGCACAAGAAGGAATCGATCAGAAATGTTTACTTTGCATGACTGACACCCCCTCGTGAATGTGACCATTGCTTTGTATGCTCTGTTACAGAGAATTTAGCAAACCTTTACTTCCTGTGGGAAGAGCTGGGGTCTTGCTTTCTGAAATCTTGCACCTTCTATGCAAACAAATGGTGAGTGCTCCCACTTATGTCATAAGTTCAGATGAGCCTGAGAGAGGGGGTGAGGAGCTGGGCTTGGGAGACTGGCTTAGCCATGGTACAAGAAGGGTCAGGAAACCTGGCTTCCTGAGGAAGGGATCTGCTGCAACTCCTCTTCAGAGCATTTGATATTGACTCCATGGAAACTGAACACATTTATCTAAATTTGATACCAAAGAGCATTTTTGTCTCTCCTATGATCAATCTTGAATCAGAATTAAGACAAGCAAGTCTGCTTTGTCTGAGGTACCTATACTAGGTGCCGGGGAGATAAAGACAAAAGCCAAACAGTCCTTCCCCTCAAGTAATTTCTTTCTGCTGGAGGAGAGAGCATATACAAAGATAAGTCATGTGAGATAGTGGGGGGGTGGGGCACTGACTACTGTGGGCATTGGGAAAGGCCTCCTCTGTGAGGGAGCACCTAAGCTTAGGCTCAAAGAAGAAAATGTTCAGGCATAGGGGAACAGACTATGCAAAGGGTGGGAGGTGGGAGATTCCAAATTCAAGGAAGAGAATTGCAGTTTCAATTTGAGGGAAATGTAGAATTTATAAATCAATTACTAAACATTTACTAAGCACCTACTATATGCCAGGTACTGTGCTAAGTGCTGAAGATAGAAAAAAGAGGCTCCCCCAAGGAGCTTACAGTCTAATGGGGGAGACAACATGCAAACAAATATATACAAAGCAAGCTCTATACAGGGAAACAGGAATTAATTGACAAAGGAAGTAATATTAAATAAGTCTGAAAACTTCCATTAGAACCAGCCTCAAAACTTTTTCCACATTTCAGAGACTGTGCTTTATTCTCAAGATGATATGGAACCAGTACATAGCTTTAGGAAACAGAGTCATGTGATCACATCTGTGTTTTAGGAATATTTGTTTGATAGTTGTATAGATGATGGATTGGAGGCAAGGAGACCAATTAGAAGACTTTGGTGTATTCAGGGTGAGAAATCATGCCCACCTAAATGAGAGGATTAGCCACATGTGTGGAAAGAACGCTGTCTATGAGATGCCGTGGAGGGAGGGGAGTGACCAGGCATAGGGGATGAGACAGAAGTCAAAGATAACTAAGGTTGCAGATCTGTGTGACAGGCAAGGTGATGGGTGCCCTCGAAAGAAATTAGGAAGTTTGGAGTGGAGTGAATTTAGTGGGGACAATAATGAGTCCATTTTTGAACATGTTGAGTTTGAGAACCTGGTGGGACAGTGAGGTGAAGATCCCGAGGAGGCGAGCAGCAGTGGAGTTGAGGAGAGGGATTAAGGCTTGGTCTGTGGAAGACGTTCTCTGCACAGAGATGATGACTGAACCCATGAAAGCTAATGAGGTCACCAGGAAGCAAGAAGAGGAGTCCTGAAGACAGAACCTTGGAGGGCACTCATGGCCAAAGGGTGGGTGATAGATAAGGATCAGCAAAGGAGGCTGAGAAAAGGAGCAGGTAAAAAAGGTAGGAGAAGAGAGCCAGGAGAGAGCACTTACAAAGGAGGAAGGGGAGAGGAGAGCATCGGGAAGAGAACCGCAGGCCAGCAGCATGCCAGCTGCAGAGGACAAATGTGAGAGTCACTGAGAAGAGGCCAGTGGGCTAGGACTTTTAAAGGTGGCTGGCTTTGAGAGAGCCTTTCAGTAAGGGATGGCATCACAAGTTAGAAATGGATGGATTGGGAGCAAATAGCCCCTGGGGGTTTGCAGACAATAGGGAAGGAGACGATGGATATGGAAGATTTGGGGATGAGGGGTGAGAGGGATTGAGAGAGAGAGACAGGTCAAAGGGGAAAGTTTGTGGAAGAGACAGGAAATGGGATTAAGGTCATATGTAGCTGGATTGTCAGAGAAAGGCCACTTCTTCCTCAGAGACAAAAGCAGAAAGGAGAGAGAGAGGAAAGGGGGTGATGACGAGGGGCCTTTAAGTGTGGAGCAGCTGCTGGCATCACTAACATACAAGGGCAGGCAGGTCCTCTGCTGAGAGGTAAAGGAGAAGGATGGCAGGAATTGGGAGTAGAGAGAAGACTTGAAATAGCCCTTCCAGCATGGGATAGAACAGCATTGACAGATGACAGTGAGGGTCCAGGTATGATCAGAGAATGTACATCTACCAAAGGCATATGGTTGTGTGACATTCTTTTCTGGCAGAGGTCAGCAGCACTCCAGCAGGAGTAAGATGGGGTGGGGCAGAGCATAAAGGGGCAAAGGATTCAAAAGTAGAAGAGATTGCACAGGGCCAAGACTGAAAGGGAAGAGACAGCTGTCACGTCTCTCGTGCTTTACGGTTTGCCAAGAGCTTCATATACATGGCTTCATCTGATCCCCCAGCAACTCTGGGAGGCAGAGCCAGGGCGGCCTGGGAGAATAGGAAGGAGAGAGACTTGGTCAGGAGTCAAGAGAGGGCCAGGAACTGGGGGGGACAGAGGCACGGATAGATGAACAAGTGGCTGGTGTCAGAGAACTCCAGATTTTAGAGAAGAGCATCCTTATGGGTATGAGTGACTCTCCCTGGGGACAGCTAGAAGGGGTAAAGATGCAGGTTGTGAAATGGAGGAGGTTGAGGGGCAAAAGCCAAGGTAGTCAAGGCAATATCAGCAAGGCTGTCTGTTCTGCCATTTTGTTGAGTTTCATTAGGTACATTTGGTATATGGAGAATAATGGCTTACATTGATTTCTGTAGCCTCATTAGAAAGCATTTCTAACCTTAATGCTTTTTTGGGGGGGGGGGGGGTTGTTGTTGTTTGTTTTTTTGGTGAGACAATTAGGGTTAAGTGACTTGCCCAGAGTCACACAGCTAGTGAGTGTTATGTGTCTGAGGCCGAATTTGAACTCAAGTCCTCCTGACTCCAGGGCTGGTGCTCTATCCACTGTGCCACGTAGCTGCCCCAACCTTAATGCTTTAACCCTAACCTTAACCACAGCCCTCAGTTGTACAAGGGCCATTAACCCTGTTTTACAGATGGAGAAACTGCAGCTCAAGTGGTACATTGACTCCCCCAGAGTCACTCAGTGACTAGGACGTTATAACAGCGCAGCATTTCCAAGTCCCCATCAGCCCTTCTTGGAAGCCTACTCCCAGTTAAATGGAAGTAGGAGACAGACTCCCACTTGTTTTGATACTTCTGTACATCAGTCTTTCATTAATATGGTGCTCCTCCCAACCCCCTTATGAACCTCAGTAGATTGTCTTCATGAATTGTTGCGGCTGAAAAGTCATCCCCTAATAGTGGCCAACTGCTGATGAGTCTCTCCTCACTTTGTTGGGCCGACCTGCTAATTATAGACCTACAGTTTGTCACCAGGCCCATACTGGAAACCTTTTCCATCTGATCTAAACATAGCTGGATCATCTTCCCCTTCTCTCTGAAATAGATCATTATCACATCAAACAAGTCACATGTTCCATCCTGTCTCCTTACTTGACTTAAAGTTAGTTTTCTCAGATTCATAGATTACCCATATGATAGATGTCTATACTGGCATATGCTGCAAGAAAAGATTGGTTTATAGATCATTAAAAGAACCAATGGCCATTGCTTGCTGCCCCCTCTACAGAAACTAGAGACTCTGTGTTTTGCATAGCTGGTTAATAGCGTGGCTTCTTGGGAGTACTGTGGAAGTAGTAAATGTCACATGTGTGCTGCCTTCTTGTCAGAAAGCTGCGGTGGAGAGCCTGACACTGTTCCTACCCTTCTGCTTGATGGTTCAGAGTATAGCATCCTCTGTCTCATCACAGCTCTCCAAAGTGTTTGTGACGATGCTTTGTTTTTCGAGTTATCAGTCATAAGGTCCCATTCTTCCTTTAGCTCAGCCTCGAATCATAATATCTCAGAGCTAGTTCATCTAGCTCCACCCCTCCCTGTATTTCTTGTCGTAGAAACATGTCTCATTCCTGGCTTACGATCTTCAGTATTCGGGGTTGGAAACTGTGCAAACATCTTGATGTGGTGTGCAGAATGATGAGCTGATCAATGTAGGGCCTACATCTTTTATTAACAGTCTGGTTCTTAGAAGTCTATGAAGAACAGTGTAAATGATCGTGATTGAACATTGGCATTGATGTAAAATAGAGATGTGATTGCCACATAGTTGCTTTAGAGCCTTAGACATCCAGTTTTGTGGGTATCTATGTCTGTGCCTGTGCTTGTGTATGAATATTAAACACCAGTTCACATGTACCATTTTATGGACAAATGTTTGAACCCATGTGGTGATCCTCTCAATGAACCCTAAGTCAGCCTTGTCTTTACATTTACCAACACATACACTTGTTACACTAGCAATCCAGAGTCTAAAGCAGTTTATGTTCATGTGACCAAGAACTTGTTTTTATGTGAGCAGCAAGCTGCCTTCTTGAAAGCCTTGTTCTCTCCCCAGTAATGGACATTTGTTTGTTATTTAGAGCCATAAGAAAGTGGGAGCCTTATGGAGGGAGGCCGGCCTCAGTTGGAAGGACTATTTGCCAGAAGGGGAAGATGTACATAACTTTCTCCTGGAGCAGGTGAGTAAGGAGTTTCCTGGTCCCACTTATGGCAAGATAGATGGTTATTCATCTTGCCTATTTTGTAGTATCCCGTCTATCCCTAAATGGAAGGTGAAAGTGATCATGTCTCTCAGTCTTTAGAGTTAATGAAATGAAACTACAGTTCCTAAGTGTTCTGTGTAATCCTTTAAATAAGGTTGATGGCAATCAAAAAACAAGGGTCCCTCAAAACTCAGACCTTTTGAATTCAATGGCTTTTCTGCTCAAATAGAGGATTTTGCTCCATGACCCCGAGGTTCTCTAGGAAATAAAGTTAGACTAATTTCTCTAACCTCCTTCCTCAATCCTGCCACAGAATCCCAGTGATGAGAGAGAGCCGCTCAGTGAGCACCTGCCTCTTTGCAGTGGCCAGCTTAATCCTCTCTTAGCAGCTGTTCTGAAGGGCCTCTTTAAAATCTGATGCCTCATCAGTCCATCATAAAATCACAGACTGATTTTGCCAGGCTACATTAGGTCATCTTAGCCAACACCTTCATTAGGAAGATATTGGCTGGAGTCTCAAGAAGAGCTTGAGCCCGGCTTTTCTGGCTCCTGGCCCATACACACCAGGCTGCCCAAGAACGTGGAGAGAACACTTTTTACATGGATTTGAATAGGGCTCCCCATGTTCAGAAGCAATTTGAAGAGTCGGACTGTCCCTAAAAATATTAAGCTTTTTAAGGTGTTTTAGGAGTAGAGTACAAAACTGTTATCACTTGCACATTCAGTAGTTACAGTTAAAACAAATCATTTTAAGATAATGTGTGTTCAGTCCTTTTTTTAAACTGAAAATCCCTTTGGTTTTGATTACCAGTATTGAATTACTCACCTCAGGATTAAAGAACTGGTTAAGTAGACTGTCTGTCAAGGCAAAGCTCAGAGCACCTGGAGCTGATTAGGGGTGGGGGTGGTCCTGTGAGAGCTGTGGGCACTGACACTTCACAGAACTGCCTAGTCATGATGGCGTACAGATTTCAATATGAATGACATTAACTGGAACCCGCCCTTCTAGCCTTAAAGAGTTGTCCCAGTACCAAAGGGAAGAAGCAAGCTCTGGAGAGTGGGAACTGAGGAAGAGGCAAGCTGCAGAGAGCTTCCCACTAAGGGGGACTGGTGCCTTTCAGAGAATCACTTGGGAGTTAATTTCCTTTCAGGGACTTAGAGGAAGGCTAGAAGAATCCATAGGAGGTTTGAGAATGATGGTTTTTCCCACTGTTAGCTACAGCTAGTCATTTGGTCCACCTTGGAGGGGAGGTATATCTCTGGGTTCTGTAGCCCTGAGGATAACTCTAAGTGCTTTTCCCTTTTCCTATTTCAGAAGTTGGACTTTATAGAGTCTGACTGTTCCAGTTCCTCAGAAGCACTTTCAAAGAAAGAACTCTCTGCTGAAGAGTTGTACAAACGGCTTGAGAAACTCATTATTGAGGACAAGGCGAATGATGAACAGATCTTTGATTGGGTAGAGGTATAAAGACTCCCTTCCTCCCTGGTACCTGTGGGCTTACATGAGTTGTGCCACATAGCCACCCATCCCTCTACTACATGGGATGCTCACTAAGCCTTAGGCAAAGCAAGGTAGTGTCTCATGCATGACTAACAGAGAGAGAGAGACAGCTGGCATAGTGGGTGCAGCCACCAAACTTGGGGTCATGTCCTGCCTCTGACGCAAGCCTGTGACCATGGACAGATCACTTAACCAGGCGAACCCAAGACCAGAAGTCACAGACAAGTTGTTGATCTGTATGAAGAGAGTTCCCTACACCAGTGAAATCACACCAGATGCCTCCCCCCAAAATAACAATTTTGATCCAAAGCAACCCTCTCCTGGATTGCTCCCCTAATTCTGATTTTGCACTGCTGCCAGGCTCCAAAAAGTCCTAAGTGTTCTGCCCACAAAACAGTTCTTCTCTGAATTCAACATCCTTCTGAGATAATTGTGCCCCTCAGCATCCTGCGTTTCACCCTATCAGCCACAGCATAGACTTCCTTTATTGACTCTCACTGGCCAGAAAGTGGTCATCAGCAGGCTTTCATTACTCTGTACTCTTTTGGGATGTATTTTCAGATGGGGTCAGTGAAGACTTTTTCTTGTGTTTTCTTTGTCCTGGAGGGTCTTCTTGTACCTGTTTCTGTGGGCCACTTGTTGTGACTGCCAGCTTATGACTTTTGCCCTCTTTGCAGTGTTTCTGCTTATTGAGAACATATCATTTTTTCAAGTTGGATTTCTACAAAGAGGGTTGTCAAGCTCTTCAGGGGTACTGGCTAGGACAGGCACATTTGAATTCTCCACATTGAGGCCTGGAGCAGTGCAGGGCAGAGTGGGCTGGCAGCACCTTTCTTTCCACAAATGCCTTTTGTTTCTTTCCAGCTCTTTAACCTTTTTTACCGCTAGTTTTATCTAACTCCTTCTCTTCGCCCCTATTTTGCTCTGCAGTCCTGTTTTCATCATGCTTTAAGTTCCAAAACAATGGCTCTTTTCAGACTACCATCCCTGGTGGCTGGGAAAATATTCTTGCTTTTATTTCTGTAGCATTTTATGATTTCAAAGTACTTTCCATTTATAATCATTTATGGCCCTCACAGCAACCCTTAGAATCAGTCCCTTTTTGATGTGACCGTGTACCTCTGGAGAAGCCAGTGCCACAGACTAGTAGGTTGATACATAACAGGCATTTTTCCTGTGAAAAATACTTGTGAACTCTGGTAACAGAAAATAACCTTTCTCTTGTTTCTTTGTTTTTTTTTAACGAAGTTTTCTGTGTTTGGACTGTTAGTATGTCCTGTATTTCTTCTGGTTTGTTACTTAACACCACTGACAAGTTTCATTATTTCTACTTCGAATCCTGTTTTAGTAAGTTGAAAAAGGCATCAGAGTGTCTACATTGTATTCAGACTTCCTTCAGATAGACACCTGTTGTTAACAGTGTGCTAGAGAGCTGTAGCTTGGAGGGCTGTGGAAAGGAGAGTGAGTGAGTGAGTGAGTGTGTGTGTGTGTGTGTATGTTTGTGTAAAGGGGAGAGGGCTGCTGCCAAGGCTTAAAGGGGAGTGGCAAATATTGCTCTTTATTCTGCTATAGCTATTTACATGCAGTAGTCTTCATAAAATGTATGATGTATTTTCAGACTGCTGTTAGGATGGTGACTTTCTTCAGGGAAATTTCAAATGTCAGAGGTTTTTGCTGGAGTGCTTCCTTCCTGCCTTCTGCTTCTGTCTTGTGGGCACTATAAAATGGCATAGTACCTTTAGTCACCAAAGCAGCCAAGAATTATTGTGGGAATTACTCCATTTAAGATAAACTTACTGGCCAGCAGAACACCTGGAGACACCACTGATTTTGTGAATTACTACCTCAAAAAGAAACTGATGTTTTCCACGGGTGTTTTTGATCTGTCTCTCCCAAAATGAGACAGTGTCCTACTAGCATTCCCATCAGTCCACAAACCAAAGGCCAAGCACTTTCTTTAAAAACCAATAAACAAAAGAAACTCCAGTCCTTCCCCCAGCTCACAGCAGTTTAGTTAGCACACCATTTTGAAAAACATCATCTTTTCCTAAGACTAGATATTTGTATACAAACAATATATAGAACTGTCTTATCCAAAGAACAACTCTGCTAGAGAGGGGGGCTTGCAACTGGACAGGAATGCAGGCGTACAAATGTCATGGAACCTTAATTACATATTGGGAAAACTCACGGGTTTTTGGCTGTATCATGGAAATAGTCATGTACCAAACCAGACACTGAAAGGATGCCTAGTAAAATGGGATTCTACCTCTACTGAAATAGGAAACAGTGAATCCATTTGCAAAGGAAGCCAAGAAATAAAACGATGAATTTTCCAGTAATATTAATTCTCACAGCAGCACACGCCTAAAAGTTCTACTGAATGTTTAAATCGGTGCACCTCTGACTGTGTAGCAAGCAGGGCCCTGGGTGTTTGTGCCTCTTGTTTGAGTAATGTAAATCTCCAGTATTGAGCAGGAGAAGGATATGTCAACATTAATTTCTTAAAGTTTCAGCTATTAGAAATAAATGCATTGAGGAGTTACAAAGGCACTTTATATCAGTCAGTTATTAGGTATTTATTGAGCCCTGCCATGAGCCTGTACTAAGACAGTGTACTAAGCTCTGGAGATACAAAAAGAGGCACAGGACAGCCCCTTCCTTCAGGGAGCTCACAGTCTAATCAGGGAGACAACATGCGAACAGATACATACCAAACTATGTGCAGGAAAAGCTATGTAGGAAATTATTATTATTATTATTAATTAACAGAGATAAGGCACTAGAATTAAGAGAGATTGGAGAAGGCTTTCTGTAGATGATGAAATTTTAGTTGGGACATAAAGGAATCTAAAGGGAGAGTTTTCCAGGCATGGGGGATAATCGGAGAAAATGCCCAGAGCCAAGAGATGGAATATCTTTTATTGTTGTTCGTGGAACATCCAGGGAGCCAGTGTCACTGGATGAAAAAGTACATAGAGGAGACTAAGGAGTACGTTAAAGTCTGGAAAGGTAGGAGAGGGGTAAGTTATGAAGGGCTTTGAATGCCAGAGTCTTTTGTATTTGATCCTGTAGGTCATGGGGAGTCATAGGAGTTCATTAAATAGAGGGGTGACACAGTCAGACCTGAGCTTTAGGAAAATCACTTTGGTGACTAAATGGAGGAGGGACTGGGGTGGGGAGAGAGCTGAGGCAGACAGACCACCAGCAGCTATTGCAGTAGTCCAGACAAAAGGTGTCAATAAGGGCCTGTACCAGAGTGGCGGCCATGTCAGGCAAGAGGAGGAGGCATATTCCAGAGATGTTGCCAAAGTGAGATCACTAGGCCTTGATAACAGATTAGAGATGGCGGTAAGAGATCGAGTCAAGGGTGACACCTAGGTTGTGAGCTGGGGGGGACTGGGAGAATAATGTTGCCCTCTGCACTAATAAGGAAGTTTGGGATTGGGTAGGGCTTGTAGGGAAAGAGAATGAGTTCAGTTTGGGATATATTTTTAAGTTGTCATTAGGACGTTTTGTTCGATTTCCTGTTTGATAGAACATTAGAGGTGTGAGACTGAAGATAGGCAGAGAGGTTACGGCAGGGACAGGTAGATTTGAGAATCATCTCCATAGAAATGATCAGTTAATTCATGGGAATTGATGTTGGTGTCAGCTGACAGTTGTCCCCCATGACGCAGTTGCTCATTTTTAATACAAGTATGAGTGAAAAAATCACAATAAGCGAAGAATGCAAATATAGATCCTCCATTTAATATCTGAGCTAATTTTCGATACTTTTTGTCTCACATGGATAGATGTTGGCCTTAATTGCCTTTGTTCTTTAAACAAAAACAAAACATACATCAATGCCACATTAGTGAAGCCTGTCAAGGTTTTAACATGATTAGCATAAAAAAGTGACTATTTTCTTCCTTGTACTTTGTCTCCATGGTAGGCCAAAGTCATTACGGTGGTCTGGGTTTCAGCAGGTGGAAAGAATATGCCATTTTGTCCTCTAAAGCAGATGAAGCAGGCACTGCTCAGAGCCAGCAAGGTCCCCTATTCTGCATTTCCAGGCAGTACTTTGTGTTCATCATTTCCAGGACTTCTCTGTACTTTTCTCAGACTTGCCTTGAAGTCTGGTCCTCAGGAGAGTCTAGCCATATGCCAAGATTGAAGTTACTCTGTCCATCTGTTTATAAAGTACTTGATGAGCCAAAAGGCAAGGCTATGTTTTTATTCGCTCTCCCATAACTTAAATCAAGTTCGGTATATTCACTCAGATTTTCCAAAAGTAATCCCTTTGGGATTAGACCAGACCAAGTGAAATATTTTTTAGAAAGTTATAAGCAAGTCAACTCTGACCAATATAATAGAAATGAGCATGGAAACCCCTTAAGGGGCATAAGATACCATCATGGCACCACATGGCAGCAAAAGGCTACAGTCTGCCCTACAGTGGTTTCTTTATGGTCTATGGGTGAAGTGGGTTAGTTTTCATTCCTATGAACTTATTGACTAACGATGCTGGTTAAAATTGCTTGTATTTGCTCTTTCAGGATTTTGTGTTCAGTTCTGCCTCCTTTCTTCAGTGTGCAGCGTCCAGGCTGTCATCAGCAGCAGCTTCCCTTGCTGCCAGATGCAGACCCATTAGATCACTTGAGTAGTAGCCCTTCAGGTCTCAGACAGCTCCTTCTTTAAATTGTAACTGAGCTTTACAGCTGCTCCAACGTTCGCTGCTTTCCAATGTGGTCTTTTCTTCATTTTCTTGGCTGTCTCTATGTGCCCACTTATGTTGGACTGTTCCTAAAAGACGCTAAGAGAAGTGGAGACTTGGAGAAGAACGCCTGCGGTCTGCTTAGAAAATTATTTTCCTGTCTGTTTGTTGTAGCTCGTAGAAGAGCGTTGTCCTATCTGAACGTGTTTGTTGTAATTCATATTGGATTGGGGTCCCATTGGCCTTGCCTCATATTTCCATTCCATTTTCCCCCGGCTTCTTTAAAGAAGAGTGAAATAGTCTTCTGCCACTGAAAAGCTTGTCCACACGTACATTACCTTCTACTTGACACAACTCTAGAACTTCATTAAGGCACAGCATTCTTTATTTTGGAAATGAATCCACATTAAAAGAAAGAGGAAAAGTCTTGGATGTTTTTATCATCCAAGACTTTTTAGGTGCAGAAGGCAAAGTATTTTTGGAGGAAAGATGTGACAGCTTTTGGCCTGTCTTCATGTCTAGGCTTTTAAGGTGTGGCTTGTGGCCCCTCTCCATGGCGGAATGTTCCCTTCAACCCCCACCCCCCAAGGCAGGGCTGGCAGGGAGCAAGTTCACACTGGAGCACACTGCAGACGGCACACTTGATTCCTGTAGAACTGTCTGCCTATATTGGCAGCAGCAAGGCTGTTTTCATTTTGACAGGGAAAATGAGTTCTTTCAGGAGGCCTGAAATGGATTCACTGCCCAGTTAGCGCCAAGCTCAGCAGTAGAGTTGGGAAACAGTTGCTGCTTTACAGAAGAGTGCCTTACTTTGTGTAATTGATGCATTTCCTCTTGATTTTAGGCTAATCTAGATGAAAGCCAGATGAGTTCACCTACATTCCTTAGAGCTTTAATGACAGCAGTTTGTAAAGCAGCTATTATAGGTAAGTAACATTTCTCAAGTCAACTCCTAACACCTGAAAATCACTATTTGTCAAGTTCTTGATTATTCATTTACATGGGTCTAAAAAGTCAGTGATTTCCCAGACCTTCCCCTGAGCTGGTTCATTTTCTACATAGGCCAAGTGTTGCTTCCTCCTCAGCATGGGGAGTGGAATCGAGAGGCAGAAAGGAGGAGGAGCTCTCTGCTTGATTGTGGTCCCAACTCCCCTGCCATGAGGGACCAAGCGTGCTTCTTTGAGCTCCAGTGTCCTGGCTATTTCTCGCCTTCCGTGTGGGAGATGGCAGGGAGAGCTCTTGCATTCTAATGCAGCTGCTTTCACTGTGTTCAGTACAGTGTTTTGGGAGTGAGGATGTAATATCTTCTTAAACATAAACACATTTTATTTCATTTTTAAATGTGCTGATAGCCCTATTACCAGTCACAGTGATGGGTGAAATTATAATTAGTAATTAGAAACTTCACTTGTAATATTTCTTCCTGAAGATACCTGCTTAACCTGTAATTTCTCTGCATTTACCATAAAAACTTCATAAAGGCTAAAAGATATTCTTGAGTATCTATACCATCGGCAAATGTATCTGTTCTCTACCCAGACAAAGCAAGGCAACAGGTTGGCTCTCGGCCACACTATTTATGCCTAAACAATGAAGTGTTTATTAAGTCCTTACAATATGCCAGGCCCTGTGCAACAGGTCCTGGAAATACAAAGGCAAAAATAAAAGATTCCCTGTCCCTAAGAGCTCCCATTCTACTGGGAGATACAGCACACATAGCATATACGTAGGTAATACACAAAACACATATAAAACTGATCCCACATCACATTGGGATGGGGTAGGAAGGGACCGGGAAAGGCCTCCCACAGAAAGTTATCTAATATCTCAATCATTCCTTTTCAAAATCTCTTTTCTCTAAAAAAGCTAGCTAGGAAGGTCTTAGACGTTCTTTTAAAAAACATTCTTGTATCTAAAATGTGGGGCTTTTTTTTATATTTAAGTTTTATCACAGGTAGAATTTTCTAATTTAAGCCTGACCCCTAAAAGTTTTTGTTTTTTGTTTTTTCCAGGAAGGGCGCTAATATTGAGATAATTTCTTATAAAAACTATTCTTTTTTAAAAGGATAATTATGCTGTTGAATAGTTTTTCAAGAAAACCCAAACATCCCTCTCCCTCTTGCCATCCAATCCTCTTTTAACCCACCCTCCTCTAAGAAGCAGTAGGTCTGAGTTCTTGGGAGGGCTGATCAGTATTGGTTCTGAGAATGATCACAAGCATTTACACTAATTGAATTTATAAATGGATTCTGACTACTCCTTTTCCTACTGTGTTCCCCTTTATGTTGCTGCATCCCTGGAATTGAGTCAGCAGTCCCTGGAAGACAGCAGGTGCTAGAGGTTCCTAGTGCTGACATCTCAGTCCTGCAGAGCTCCGGGGCTTCAGTGCTCCCCTTCCAGGGGGTGTGGGGAGGTGAGGGAATGGTAGCATCAAGACAGTTCCCAATTAAATATTGACCCTTAAGTAATTCCAGTGCTTTCCAGTCCTTCCCCCGCCCTCTCCTCTTCCATATTAGCATTGGCGGCTCCTTGTGGATCACCTGGCTCTTTTCTTCTGTTTCTCCAAGCCGACTGTTCTGCTTTCCGAGTGGACACTGCTGTTATCAAGCAGAGAGTGCCGATCTTACTCAAGTACCTAGACTCAGATACAGAGAAGGAGCTACAAGCACTTTATGCACTACAAGCATCCATTGTCAAACTTGATCAACCTGCCAGTAAGTTCACTTGTGGCTTTACATGGGGTCAGATCAGCCAGATGCTAGAACAGTCAGAATAAATAGTACTGGCTTCTTGGGCCGCAGCCTCGAGCTTCGGGTCTCACGTACAGCACAACTTCTATTAACAGAGCCTTAAAGTAAGTGAGTAGCCTCTCCTGGTTTCTGTTTTCTGTCTGCCATCCTATAAACCTGAATTTGATATTGACTAGAAAAAAAGATAAACAACAAGAAGACAAGACCATGCCAGGGACTTTGTGGCCAGAAACGGCTTCCGGGGCATCTCCTAGGGTGTGTGCACAATGCAGCCGCATCCTTTCTAACTGTTAATGTTCCGAATGACCCCAACCGTCTGCAGCATCCTCGAGGGGTCACCCGAGCCCATAGTTCCGACTCAGGCATTCATTTTTGGAATGTTTTTCAACCATGAGAGTCCGTGCTTAACATTCAGCCCATCTTAAAATTCATTTAACCGTAATACCTTATTCTGGTTCATTGAAATTTTATTTCCTTTTTTTAAAAACTGAGTTTATGGTGAAGCAATGAGGTCAGAAAAGGAAAATGATTCTACGTGATTTGCTTAAGATTGTGCCTTTTGGACAAATACTTTTCATTCTATCTGTACAAATAGCAAGAAGTTTTACTGGTCTGTGATAGGAGACATTGGCGTATGCGTGGAGACTCACCTAAGCCTGTATCCACAGGGCCAGCTGTTCTCTCAGAACTTCCCACAGCTAGACCTGTGACACAGGTGGTGATGAGCCCGTCTCTACCTGCCACTGCTTCCTCCGCATTTAACTTCCCTCCCTTAGTTTTCCTCTCTATAAAATAGGGAAGTTACTGCTTGCTGATACATAAAATCTTTAAATCACTAGATACAGTTGGAAATTTTGTTTTCAACCAGTTGAATAAAAATATGGTTTTTACTTATGCCCTTTTGATTGTCCAGTATAATGACACTCGAATCTTTTATCGTAGGCCAAGTTTATCACTACCACCTAACACATACCTGGCCACTCATTCCTCTGACTTTCCTACTAGTATGTTTAAAGAATAATTTACAAATATAAACCTTCTGGGAAATTTTCATACATATTCCAAATCACTGACATGGGTTGGAGGAATGAGAATGGGAAAAAAAAATCTTATGAGGCTTACTATTCCCATCAGTTTGCTTGCCTTGTAAAAACCCAAGTCTCCTTGGCTAAAGAAAAGCAGAGAATTGAGATCATTAACAAGATTATTTGGGTTAGGTAAAGTTATGGGTAAGTGAGGTACAATTTGAGAGAGAGAATGAGAGAATGAATGTGTGTGAATTCCCACAATTCCCATTTAGGAGAGTTTTTACCCAGTTTATCTAGATAATAATATTTTTCATATCAGGAACCCAACACAAAACTGTACATTTATCAAAGGGGTGGGGGGCAACCCAGACTTTTATTTTAAAAAGATGATTGGAATGTAATATAAAATGATACACACCTAGAACCATAGAAAATTTAGAACAGAGTTAAATAATAGCTGCAGAAAAATTATTTTAGACACCATATAAATTATTCCCGTCTCCTTTCTTCATGTCCCTAACTCTTTGTGATGATGTAACACTGAACTGTTTTTAAGTGGGGATGGGGGCCTGGCACAGATCCTCAAAGAGGATCTGTGCAAAATCACTGCTTGGGGAAAAAAATCCCTTTGTTTGCCTTTTAAGGGCCTGTCAATCCTGTTCTTGTCAGGACTGACAGACCTCTTTGCCCCTCTTGCAGATCTCTTGCGGATGTTTTTTGATTGTCTCTATGACGAGGAGGTGATCTCGGAGGACGCCTTCTACAAGTGGGAAAGCAGCAAGGACCCTGCCGAGCAGAGTGGGAAAGGCGTGGCGCTGAAATCGGTCACAGCCTTCTTCACGTGGCTGCGGGAAGCTGAAGAGGAGTCAGAGGATAACTAAAACTTCAAATATACAAAACGAAACAAAAGAAACAATTTAAGTATTTTTTTAAAAAGTTTCACGTCTTCGCCAATCACAGTGCAGCAAGGCCAATTCTCGAGCAGAAACCCCCACGTGTGCACGAGTGGGAGAGGGGAGAGAGAAACAAAAAGGTGATCATGGAGGAAAAAGGTACTGGAAAAGTAAACGTCAAACCTGAGGGCGGGAGCACTAAACCAAAATACATGTATTATTTATAGAAAATATTTTCTGTTTTAATCTTTTCTTTTCTTTTTAAACAAGGACTCATACTTTAAAAGAAACACAGATCTGTTTAGCAAAAAAAAAAAAGTTGAGAACTTTAATTTATTTTAAGGACTGCAAATGCCAGTGTAATTTTTTAATTTGCAGTTTCTGTAAACAAATTGTATAATAGAAAAGCAGAGAAATAAATTTCCCTCCCCTTCAGATGCACTTCACTTTTGTTTCAAAGCATAGTAGATAGTCCAGTCTTAAGGGGGTTTTGGGGTGAGCTAGGTAAGAGAGATCATTTTTTGATTGTTTTTTGGCATCAAATCTTTCTGCCTGCCTCTCAGCTTGCTTCAGAAATTAAAAATCAAAATAGTAATCAAAACATACATAAACTTGGAACAGAAGGAAATGCATTTGAGAAAATGCTGTGGACCAGAAAGCTCCAAGAATTAACTTGTTCAGAAAAAAAAAAAAAGTGCTACCCTGGGAAAAGTACCCATAATACTTTTGAAACCTTTAGAGCAACTTTAAGGCTTGTAAATACATAGAACAAATATTTAAAAAAAAAAAAAGAAATTGACTCAATACTATTTCTTCTCACTTTCAAAATATAAAGAACAAAATAAAGACAAGCATTGCAAGTTTAAAGAAAAGTAAAGCGATTTCTCCTTTTGGCAGCTGCTGGATGTGGGCACCATCTCAAACAGGTGTGCCGTCTTTGCTCTTTTAGGGTCCAGACTGAGGTATCTCAGATTTGTGTACATAGAGTGCGTGTGTGTCTGTGTCCCCAACCAGGAAAGATGAGCCTCTTTGGGTTAAGGAGGGAATTTGTACTTGGGTGGGAGGCCTCCTCTACTAAGGAACAGCCCACTGAGTGACAGCGGGCCCCCCCCCCCGCCCAAAGCCAAGGCCGAGCTTCTTGGAGACATCCAGTAGCATGTCGTTGCTAGGTTGGGAGATGATTGAAGGGCACTGGAAGCAGCTTCATCCAGTTTTGAACTCTTTGCCCACCATAAGTATCAGGACTCAGGAATCCCACTGGTATTAGCCCCATAGCCCTTGCAGCAGGTCGCAGATAGACAACCTTTGAACCAAATGACCAGCCTCCCCTTCTCCATGGCCTTTTTATTGGTTTACTTCTTACCAGACAGCCACCACCACAGCTTTTAAAAGTTTGCTTACAACAACTGCCTTCATGTTTAAGGAACCCAAAGACAATCTGTAGGAGTAAAAGAAAGCAACATCAACATGTTCTTGGTTTTTTAAGATGAAGCTAAGTACTGTGTGACAATCACATTGTTCCCCCAGCTTGACCCAGTCCGTTCTGATGTGTGTGAAGTGAGTGTGATTTGGGCCTCTGTTTTTTTTTCCACAAAGTTTGGGTGCTTATTTTAAAAGAAAGTTGCAGCACAGGCTTGAAAGATGGCTTTCCGTCTCTGCTATCTTGAGGGCTGGCATCTTGCAAAAGTGTGTTTGTTCATAAAACCAAACTCTTTCCCAAGTAAACAACCTTTGTGTTTCTCAGTTGGATGCCAACCAAAGATGATCTTCAGCTCCCACCTCTGAAGAAGCTTCCACAATAAGAGACCTGGCAAAACTGGAGAAGCTCTAGAATACATTTTTTTTTCAGTAGCAATAAAAGGTTTTTCTCCTGTTCGTGATTTAGAACAGCTCAGAATGCTTCCCCATAAGCTAACAAGGGCATGATCTGGAGAAAAAAAAAAAAGGCATTGATGAAGAGTTGTGCCCACAGAGGCCAATGAATGACCTTGGCTGAAAATGTGCCACCTAAGGATGACAACACCGGCTGGAAGCTGACTTGCTGTTCTTGGGCTTGGCTGCAGGCTTGGCCTGCAGACCTTCCTATAGAGGGAGGGACAGCAGAACAACGCAGGGGTTAGAATAGAGGGAACATTTAAGGTTTCCAGAACCAAAGTGCAGAGTAACCTGAACCAAGAGATTCCTTTGAGTGGTGTGGATTTTAAAAGGTGGTGGCAAGTGGGATTTGGGGGGAAAAAGGGGGGAAAGTTGTTTCCCGGGGGGTACGAGTTGGGTGTCACAGTTGCATCAGTGGTTGTTGTTGGCAGGTCATGAAGAAGCTGCAGTTAGAACTGTTGGTTATGTTCACTCACACCAGTAGTACATAACTTGCAAATGTGAGAAGAGTAGAGGTGGGAGGGGAAAAAAAGTTAAAAAATAAAATTCCATTGAAAACGCTTCAAATATAAACATGTTTATAGTATGATGTCGGTAACAAAACCTTTCATCAGTTACGTAAGACAGAATAATGAAACTAAAGAGCGTTCTTAGAAGCAGGCAATTGCTTCTTTATACAAATTTCAATTCTCTTGTTGGATTCATGATTATATGAGAGAAACGAATACAGGAAAAGCATACACAAGGTAGTAGTGTGGTTGAATCTTTAGGGATTCAACTCAGGTGCCCAGGACAGCTCTCATCCTGCCCTTTGGCTCAGCCACTTGGCTTCCTGCCCAGAACTGGGTGGTGTTCTTCCCAGTTGAGAATGGCCTTACCAGCCCTGAAGTAGACAGCAGCCATTACATATCCCCGGCCATTAATTGGGAAGGTCATTTCTACCAATAGGCAGACTTCAGGAGTTGACATAATACTTATTTCAGTTAAAAATATTTCCTACTGTGTTCAAGTCAATTAACTTAACTGCTTTTTGGTAAGTTCAATAAGTTAAGTTCTTTGAAGCAACCAAGACATGTTATGTCACTTTCTGTGTCCAGACTTACATGTTTTCAGCAGATAGTTTTCATCTCACAGAGGTCAGAAAGCCATTTTCACATCCTTTTTTTTTTTTTTAAAAGAAACCCAGTAACTCATAGTGACTCCATTAGTATCCTCTCACCTGCCTGACTACAAAGTACCACCTCTCATTTGTTGTCCAGCAGATCTTTGTGTTGTTGCCTTCTTTAAATTTTTATTCCTAAATGTAGCTTGAATCAGTTGCAAAAAGCAAATCTCTGACAGCCCTGCCGACTGGAACAAGCAGGCTGTTTGGAAAGGTACTGAAAATTTGTTCATCTTTGTCTTTTTATGTAGGTTCAGTACAAACCAGATTGAGACAAACTGAAAATAATCTTGTACTCTTGGCCCTGATTCTGTATTTTCACACATTTTCTAGATTTTTATTCTTAAAAAACACTTTTTGAGAATAATTGGAATTTTGTTTTTATATTGTTAACCAAGTTAGTTGGCCATTTATAGAAAAGTATCTCCACACACCCCCTCCCTTTACTATCTTGTTAGGCCTGGCCATTAAACCAACTTTTGGTCAAGGACAGCCCTCTCAGATGTTAGCCCTCAACACCATGGAACTAAAGACAGTCAACTGCCTTTGACCTTCAAATATTCCCTATATCTTCTTTTTACAGTTTTGGCAGCATGTTTGACAGCCATCAGTCATTCCTTCCCTGGTAAGCAGGAGTTACTGGAGTTTTCCTATCACACTGTGGCATTCTTCTGAGATCATGGATATGACTGTGGCTTGCCTGAAATGAATGGCCACTGAGATCTAATAGACGCTTACTAACCATATCACTCTGCTGTGTTGCTGCTGTCATAGTTCTCCTTAGATTTGGAAATCCTGAATATTTTGGAAGCTTACAAAGTGAGATGGTGTACTGTGGAGAGTTTCAAGTATGACAACTTGGTGCTTCCGAAATTTGTTTAAAAAAAAAAAGATACAGGGAATATTTGAAGGTCAAAGGCAGTTGACTCTGTCTTTAGTTCCATGGTGTTGAAGGCTAACACCTGAGAGGGTTGTTCTTGACCAAATGTGGATTTAATGGCCAGGTCTTAAAATGTAGTGGGGGGTGGGGGGAGAGTATTTTTCTATAAATGACCAATTAACATGGTTAACAATATAAAAATGAAATTCCAGTTATTCTCAAAAGGTAAAGTGACTTGAACCAGAGAATAAGAAAGCTGCCTTGACCTTCAGAAATTAGTTATGAATTTAGGATTGTAAATATACGTTCTTTAGCTTTTATGTGAACAGATACATGGATTCCACTGTTTTTCCTCGTGTTGTTTTAAGCACATTTGCCTATAGTAACTTCAGAAAACCACCATATTGGGTGGATTATTTTTCATACTTTATTTTGAATGGATGAGTGGATTTTATACAGCAGCTGGGAGAAACCCCTGAGGGCTGTTCATTGGATTGTCATGAGGTTAAAACATCTCACTGAAGAATAAAAAATGACTTGAGACAGAACCTCCAGTACTGGTCAGTCCTAGTTCATTAGCTTCACACATGGCCTCCTTTCTTCTGAATCAGCTTATAGGACACAGGTTTTCAGATGTCCCGGCTTGAGGAGATTACACACCCAATAGCCACAAATACAGCATGTATCCCATCTTGATATTGCCTTGTTAGTAGAGACACCCGGGTTATGGAATGAGTAAAGGGAATTGTGAGTGAGAATTTTAAATGACAGGCTTTATAAGAGGAGGCAAGATCTTTCCAAATGAGTAAGGAATGCACTTGGCTGCTCTGAGAATGAAAGCTGTCCATTCTGAGCTATCTGAATTTTCAGACCATTTAATGGCACTTACTTTGCATGGCCCAAGAAGGCAGCACTGAGATCAGCATGTGGTAGTTACAGGAACACAAGTTTTGGTTCAGCATAAGGAAAAAGCAGAGCTGTCCAAAAAAGAAATGGGCTACTTTCTGAAGTGGTGAATTTTCCTTATCACTAGAGGCCTTCAAACACAGACTTACAAGGGGATATGATTAAAAAGGAAATTCATGCTTCATGTAGGGAGAGCATAAAGTAGATCACCTCCAGTGTCCAGTCCAACGCTTAAGCGTCTATGACTTTAGTCCCTGGTCACATGAAATAGTTTAAATAACTCCAAAGAGGCCTACCTCATAACCTTATATAGGTTCTTGGGTTTAAGGACCACAAATTTCTCCTTTAGGTAGCATAAAATCCCTCCTTTTCCTCCCATTATAATTCCTGAACTAGGGTACAATGCAAAATTCTGCAAAATACTATTCCGTTTACCAAATTGTACCCAGCCGACTGGATACATAACAACAGGAAATAGTGTAGATAGTGGAAAGAGCACTTGATTGGCAATAAGAAAAACTGATTCTAGCTCCATTATCATCACTAGTTAATTATGTGGCTTTGGTCCAGGCTGGACCTTTGTTTCTTCATCTGTAAAGTGAAGGAGTTGAACTAAGTGCTCTCTGAGGGCCTTCCTGACCTAAAATTCTGTAAGCCTATGATGATCAAAGGGGGCTTTCTTAAAACTGACTTCTTTGTTTTGCCTGATCTGTTGGTAACCAGGTCTAATTGATGATTATTGATGATCTAGCTTGCCAAGATTCATAAGGACAGATGTTGATGGTTAATAACACTGCCTATCAAGGTTGACAAGAAAGATAGTAGAGTGAGTATTTTAAAACCATCCCCTCAATGAGTCCAGTATCTACTTCCAATGATTTCCTATCTGGCCTTCTGTAT